GCCAAGAAAGCACTTATTTTTGACCCAAAAGTTATTTTGAGTTTGTGTGAAAAGTTGTAGAGGACAACTGCTTGTTTCTCCAAATTTAGATCATCAAACCAGACAAGATGTAGAAGAAAATGGCTGAGTTAAGCGAGCTTTGCATCCTTTGTCCAAGACAAAACATGGGAGAAAGCCAATATGCGCTCACCTAAAGGATTATCAGGAACACCACACTAATAGTGTTTGACCCCCTTTTACCTTCAGAACTGCCTTAATTCTACATGGCATTGATTCAACAAGGTGCTGAAAGCATTCTGTAGAAATGTTGGCCCATATTGATAGGACAGCATCTTGCAGTTGATGGAGATTTGTGGGATGCACATCCAGGACACGAAGCTCCTATTCCACCACATCCCAAAGATGCTCCATCGGGTTGAGATCTGGTGACTGTGGGGGCCGTTGTTGTACAGGAAACTCATTGCCATGTTCAAGAAACCAATTTGAAATGATTGGAATTTTGTGACATGGTGCATTATCCTGCTGGAAGTAGCCACCAGAGGTTATCCGTGTCGTGGCTTCACAAACGCTTTGCTGCATACCTCGGTTGTAACGAGTGGTTATTTCAGTCAAAGTTGCTCTTCTATCAGCTTGAATCTGTCGGCCCATTCTCCTCTGACCTCTAGCATCAACAAGGCATTTTCGCCCACAGGACTGCCGCAAACTAGATGTTTTTCCCTTTTCACACCATTCTCTGTAAACCCTAGAAATGGTTGTGGGTAAAAATCCCAGTAACTGAGCAGATTGTGAACTACTCAGACCGGCCTGTCTGGCACCAACAACCATGCCACGCTCAAAATAGCTTAAATCACCTTTCTTTCCCATTCTGACCTTCAGTTTGGAGTTCAGGAGATTGTCTTGACCAGGACCACACCCCTAAATGCATTGAAGCAACGGCCATGTGGTTGGTTGATTAGATAATTGCATTACGGAGAAGTTTGAACAGGTGTTCCTAATAATCCTTTAGGTGAGTGTAGATCTGGCCACATGGAAAGTGACAGCTACGTTGGGGGGAAAGATGTTCTGCTGTGACATCATATGTGAGAATTCTGCTTCGTAGTCTTTTTAATATTTTTTTGCATGCAATAAATCTCAAACTACACAACACTTAGCTGAAACACAAATAATAATTTTTCATTTAAACTGAAGTACAACATATGTGTCATTCAGGGCGTAAGGCAAAGCGGACCAGAAAGTAAGTTTCGTTGCCCACTCACTTTCAGTCAGGCTCCCCATGAGCCCAAATCATCAGCCTCTACTACAGTGTTGACAGCTGAGATAAGGTGATTATATATTTTTATCCTTTTCCCACTTTTCATTAGTATTTTTATTTTCATTGTCATGAACATGAATATTTTAAAAACAGGCTTGAAAAATATGTTATAAAACAGACAAATGGACTGTATGGAAATGTCCTTATAACCCTTGTGCAATACCAGATTCACATAGTATGTCTGTGTCCCTTACAGAATGCTGCATAGTGCTGGAACCCAAGTTTTTTATTTTTTATTTGTGGTTTTTAGTGGTAGAAGGTTGCAATACTAGCTTACTGCCTATGTGTATATACACGCTGTTATTTTAATTCAAATTATTCTCCAAGTGTTTGTGCTGCTGTAACTAGTGAATTCCCCCACTGTGGGATCAATAAAGTAAATTATCTTCTGTTCTATTCTATTCTAACCCACATCCAGACTGATGGGCAGCAACATTTGCTTTTCTAAGACTACTGCCACTGTCTTTTTGCCTTGGCGGTGTGAGCACACACTTATGCTCCAGTGCAGAAAATTATTCAAACTCTTGTCTTGAAATTGAAACTTAATCACGATCCTTTAATAAAGAGCATCCGGCTGCTTTATACTTACATTGGGGGTGGGGGGTGGGGGGTGGGGGGGATAAAACTCTGTCATTTGTTAAAATATGGTTCATGTTCTGATAATTTGGACCTAAAAGGAACCGGGTTTTTTTAATGCACCAATTTTAAGAACTTATCTATTTTGATGGATTTGGGTTAGGGATGTTTATTATTTATTCTAGTGTTTAAAAAAATGGGGCAAACTCTCAAGAACAAAATCAATGTAGTCGTCATGTTTTTTTCTCCATTTCCACATGGGCCGAATCTTGTTCAGGGTAACAAAAAGCTGCAGTGTGTGAAAGGCTCTGTCTGGACAGAACATCAGTCCATCACTGAGCTGTACAGATGAAAATGATCTGAAGACAAGAAGATTGTTGCATGAGATGTCACACACATCTCTACAGTTAGATAATAATCCTTAATAGTTTTCATATTGTTCAGAAAAAAAGGAGGTTTTGACCGCATTCCTACCTTCAGGCCTTTTCTACTAATGAGCTACATATAATACATTAGACCACAACTACAGTACAATAATGGAAATACATTTTGCAATTTAACAATCTCCAATGTCAATAGATGTTTTCCTTTTTGCTCAATTTATCTTGTCCATTTAAGGTGAAACATTTTTTAAAATGGCCATTTGAGGAGACTAGAACTTACAGTTGCACAGCAACAATGTTACAAATTAGACAATACTGCCACCTGTTGGCAGAAGTGCAGATATAACTAAGAAAAAAAAGCTGACCAGTGTAAACTCAACAGACACCTGTCAGCTGAAGGGATAAATCTTTACTTTAAATATTTGCATAGCAACCATTTATTTCCTTGAATGTTTACCAGAAAAAGTCACAAAGTACAATTTTCTCAGTGGATTATAATAATAATCGCTGGGCTGCCACCTTACCGTGGTGGAGGGGTTTGAGTGTTCCAATGATCCTATAGGGACTAAGTTGTCTGAAGCTTTATGCCTCTGGTAGGGTCACCCATGGTAAACAGGTCCTAGGTGAGGGATCAGACAAAGAGCAGCCCAAACACCTCTTATGATGAATAATATAAATGGAAACCGTGTTCCCTCGCCTGGATGCGGGTCACTGGGCCTGAAGGTGGGGCACGTTGGCGAGCGCCTGGTGGCTGGGCTTTCACCCATGGAGCCTGGCTAAGCACCGCCCAAAGAGGAAACGTGGATCCCCCTTCTTATGGGCTCACCACTCGTGGGAGGGGCCAAAGAGGTCGGATGCAGTGTGTGATGGGTAGTAGTTGAGGGCGGGGTCCTTGGCGGTCTGATCCTCGGCTCTTGGTACATAGAATGTCACCTCTCTGGTGGGGAAGGAGCCTGAGTTGGTGTGTGAGGTTCCGACTAGATATAGTCGGACTCACCTCAACGCATGGCTCTGGCTCCAGAACCAGTTTCCTTGAGAGGGGTTGGACTTTCTACCACTCTGGAGTTGCTCCCACTGAGAGGTGCCGAGCAGGGGTGGGCATACTAGTTGCCCCCCATCTTGGTGCATGTACATTGAGGTTTACCCCGGTGAACGAGGGTAGCCTCCCTCCACCTACGTGCAGGGGGGACGGGTCCTGACTGTGGTCTGTACTTATGCACCAAACTACAGTTCAGACTACCCACCCTTTTTGGAGACCTTGGAGGGGGTGCTGGAGAGTGCTCCTTCTGGTAAGTCCCTCATTCTGCTGGGGGACTTTAGCGCTCATGTGGGCAACAACAGTGAGACCTGGAGAGGTGTGGTGGGGAGGAACGGCCCCCCTGATCTGAATCTGAGTGGTGTTTTGTTATTGGACTTCTGTGCCACTCATGGATTGTCCATAATGAACACCATGATCAGACATAAAGGTGTCCATATGTGCTCTTGGCATCAGGATACCTTAGGCCGCAGCTCGATGATCGACTTTGTTGTTGTTTCGTCTGACCTGTGGCCGCATGTCTTGGACACTCGGGTGAAGAGAGGGGCAGAGCTGTCAACTGACCCCTGCCAGATGGCGAGTTGGCTCTGATAGTGGGGGAGGATGCCGGTCAGACCTGGCAGGCCCAAATGTGTTGTGAGGGTCTGCTGGGAACGTCTGGCAGAGTCTCCTGTCAGAAGGAGTTTCAATTCCCACCTCCGACAGAACTTCCAAAATGTTCGTGGGGGGGGGGGGGGGGGGGGGGGCATTGAGTCTGAATGAACCCTGTTCTGTACCTCCATTGTAAGTAAGTAAGTAAAAGTGTATTTATATTGCGCCTTTTGCAGATATAAATCACAAAGCGCTGTACAACATGATAAGGATCAGGGCAAATACCTCTAACCAATAAAAACATCAGAAAAACAATAGGTGTGATAAAATAGAAAATAAAATCATGAGTATAAACAAAGTGAAGGTGTGAACCCGAACAAAGCCATCTTTTTGAACATTTAGGGAGGGAACGCCTGGATGAAAAGGTGAGTTTTTAGATGATTTTTAAAGACCTCTACAGTGTTAGAGAGACGGAGATTTGAAGGCAGACTGTTCCAAAGTCAGGGTGCAATAGTCTGAAAGGCCCTGTCCCCTTTGGTTTTCAGTCTGGTTCGAGGAACAGCCAGGAGGTTTTCAGATGTGGATCTAAGGTTCCGAGAGGTGATGTGTGGGGATAAAAGCTCAGATAGGTAGCTTGGAGCCTGGTTGTTAAGAGCTCTATAGGTCAGGACTAAAACTTTAAACTGTATTCTATATTCTACCGGGAGCCAGTGGAGGGACTGTAAAACTGGAGTGATGTGAGCTCGTCTGCTGGATTTGGTTAGGAGTCTGGCTGCTGCATTTTGGATGGCTTGAAGGCGTGAGAAGGAGGTTTTGCTGAGACCAGTAAAAAGAGCGTTACAGTAGTCTAAGCGTGATGACACAAAGGCATGGATGATTTTTTCCAGATCTGCAGTAGAGGCGGCCGACCGCAGCTGTGGCCGCAGGGTCGTTGGTGCCTGTTGTGGCGGCAACCCCAGAACCGGCTGGTGGACACCGACAGTTGGGGATGCTGTCAAGCTGAAGAAAGAGTCCTATCAGGCCTTTTTGGCCTGTGAGACTCCAGAGGCAGCTGATAGGTACCAGCAGTCCAAGCGGCATGCGGCTCGGGTGGTCGCGGAGGCAAAAACCCAGGCATGGGAGGAGTTTGGTGAGACCATAGAGCAAGACTTCTGTACGGCTTCGAGGAGATTCTGGTCCATCAGCCAGTGCCTCAGGAGGGGAAAGCAGTGCGCTACCAACACTATCTATAGTGGCGACGGTGTGCTGCTGAACTCTAATCGGGACGTTGTGGATCTGTGGGAAGAATACTTCGAAGACCTCCTCAATCCGACCGGCACATCTTCCAATGAGGAAGCAGAGTCTGGGGACTTTGAGTTGGGCTCTCAAATCTCTGGTGCTGAGGTCACTGAGGTTGTCAAAAAACTGTATGACCGGTGCCAGAGCTTGGTCCGCATTGCCGGCAGTAAGTCAGGCTCGTTCCCAGTGAGAGTTGGACTCCGCCAAGGCTGCCATTTGTCACCGATTCTGTTCATAACTTTTATGGACAGGATTTATAGGTGCAGCCAAGGTGTGGAGGGCATCCGTTTTGGTGGCCTGAGGATCAGGTTTCTTTTGCAAATGATGTGATCCTGTTGGCTTCATCAGAACGTGATCTCCAGCTCTCACTGGAGCGGTTCACAGCCGAGTGTGAAGCGGCTGGGATTGAGAATCAGCTCCTCTAAATCTGAGACCATGGTCTTGATTCGGAAAAGGGTAGAAAGCCTTCTCCGGGTCAGGGATGAGGTCCTGCCCCAAGTGGAGGAGTTTAAGTATCTCGGGGTCTTGTTCACGAGTGAGGGAAAGCTGGAGCGTGAGATCGATAGGCGGATTGGTACTGCATCTGCTGTGATGCGGGTGTTGTACCGATCTGTCGTGGTGAAAAGAGAGCTTAATTTACTGGTCAATCTACGTTCCTACCCTCACCTATGGTCATGAGCTTTGGGTAGTGACCGAAAGAACGAGATCCCGGGTACAAGCGGCCGAAATGAGTTTTCTCCACAGAGTGTCTAGACTCTCCCTTTGAGATAGGGTGAGAAGCTCAGTCATCCGGGAGGGGCTCAGAGTAGATCCGCTGCTCCTCCACATCGAGAGGAGCCAGTTGAGGTGGCTCGGGCATCTGGTCAGGATGCTTCCTGGACGCATTCCTAGTGAGGTTTTCTGGGCACGTCCAACAGGAGGAGACCTAAAGGAAGACCCAGGACACACTGGAGGTACGTTATTCTCTCGGCTGGCCAGGGAATGTCTCAGGATCCCCCCAGAGGTTCTGGCCCAAATGGCTGGGGAGAGGCAAGCGTGGGCCTCTCAGCTTAGGCTACTGCCCCCTCGACTCAACTCCAGATAATCTGAAAATAATGGATGGAAGGATGGATGATCGGGGAAAAGGTCTATATCAGTTTTAGAATTAAATTAAGACACAATCCGGACTTCATTACGACCAGTTTTCATGTTTGTAGAAAGTAGAAATAAATCCAGCTCCATTTTTAGAAACTTTGACCAAAAGTGACATTTCTAATCATATCCAACCAGTTAGAAGTAAGAAGGACGTTTGACGTTGAAGCAGGAATCCGAACAAAAGCCTAAAAATAAATCAGTTTGCAAAACTAACTTGGAGTCACGGTTTAGTCTGTGAGCTTTGGGAGGGTTTAACCTGCGCATAAATGTTTGCTCCCAACGCCAATTTTACATTATTTCTGATTGCATTAACACACACACACACACACACACACACGCACACACACACACACACACACACACACACACACACACACACACACACACACACACACACACACACACACACACACACACACACACACACACACACACACACACAACACACACACACACACACACACATTAATTTGTCAAGTTTGATTAAAGCAATCAAACCAAACAGAAACTTGGAAATTAAAGAGGATTCAAACCCAATATCATCTAGCAGCTTCAGCCTTCAGCCGGATGACGATCCCGTGAGCGATATAAAACCTAAAAAAGCTGATCGACACTTTTTCACAAGAATAACCCAACTCCACAGGCGAAGAATACCTTGTGTAGAAGGCACGGCCCTCATTGGCTGGAAGTGTTTGTCAGCTGTGTTTTAACGAGTAACCAGTTGCCCGACGAGGCAGGGACAAGTCCTCACGTGTCTGTGATTACAGTTGGCATTCTGGATATGTAACAAAGCAGCAACACAAGGGAGAAGAGGATCCCAGCAGCATCCTGCACCAACACAAGCCGATGGGATGAAACAAATCCAGTGACTTGATGAAGACTTGAAGAATGCTGGTTGTCTAGTGTCGAGTTCCTCGTCCTTCAACGCTCCTAGTTGGTCCCTCAGGGCTCTTGAGCATCTCTGGGCAGGGATCCATTCAGTTCCAGTAGACTATTGATTCCCAGATACCCCAGTATAATGTCACCTCTGCGGTGGGAAAGTTTCAGAACGTCCTCGGCCAAGCACTGAGCAGTGGAGAAGCGCACCTTGTCGTGATCAAACATGTCCTTAAGGTATTGCACGATTTGTTGCTGCAGGTGAAAAGAACAGAAATGACTGACAGGAAATGGTTTAATAAGACACAATCACTCCTGGGTTACCTACAAAACACTAATGGATGAAATAATGACAGTCTAAACATCTTTTAATTCTATTATAGCGCTTTTACAAACCAGTAAAGGTCGAAATAAAACCCAACATGCAATGACATCTAGTGGCAAAGTTGTATATTTACAATATTTGTAAATATTTAGATCTAACAGTAACTTCAGTGTTTATTATGGCTACAGAAGCTTGAGGTCAAGTTTTAATCTGAACTTTTTATTTCCAAAAAACGAATAAATCAAATAAATGAAAAAATTTTTTTTAAACGAAATAAAAAAACCTACATTCACAATAGGGGGACTTCATGGCTGCAGGACATATTTAAATTACAAATCTGTTCTCCTAATTTAGGAAAAATGTTCCAGCTACCTAAAAGTCTCACCTTGAAAATTGTGCAAACTTCACTCAGGTGTTGCCTGGGTCCCAAAAACCCAAAAGCTAAAACCGGGCTCACGTGTTCTGATATGGCATAGAAGTGGGAGATGAACCCATCGGGAACCTACAGAGAGCAGCGGTAACAGGCGCTGGAGGTCAGACGGGCATGAAGAATACAGCTAGAAGAAGCGTGGAACTCACCAGGAGAAGACGCCGTTTTGCTTTTAACACAGACCAGCAAGCCGTCGCCAGGGCCTACAAAGAAAACAAAGAGTTCTCTGAGAAGGTGGTAGAAGTTTGTTGCGTGTGCACGTGTGTGTGAAACTAACCGTCTCTTTAAAGCTGTCGGAGAGCCAGCGGTTCCTAAGCACAGCTATCACGGATGAGGGAGGACTCTCCAGGTCTTCAAAGGCATCCATTAGGATGAAGTCCAACACAATGTCGAAAAAGTTCATACACACCACCTGAGGAGAGCACAGGATGTAAAAAACAAAACAAAAACACACTTCGCCTGAGTGATGCAGTAACATTTAGCAGCTGACTGAATTTCTATAAATGATAATTAGATCACTCACCCCTCGAGCCTCCAGCTCCATCTGAGTGACGGGCCACGTTTCCTCCCTCTGGGTGTAAAGCAGCATGTCTTCATAGCTCTCTAGAAAAGCTTTGGGACTCTGAGCCAGAATCAAAATCTGATGTATTTACATGCACCAACAGAAAAAGAAGATTGATCTGAATGGAACAAATGTGTGTAGTTTACCTTGTTTGCCTTTACCACCAGCCCGGCTATCATCTGTTTCCCGGTTTCCATAAAAAAAGTGCGATGAGTTTCATCCAACAATAGCATCTGGGGGAGGGGGAATCATTTCACCTTTTTTGTTTTGTTATTTTGGGACAGTTTCTACTATAAATATACTATTTCTTATCTGATCATTTATATTTCATGATTAGTTCCCAGATTTATCAGATTACTGTCAGCATCACTTTCGCTTAAGTGTTTTGTGGTTTTATTTGGATTTAAATGCAATAGATTTAAATCAATTTATGATATCAAAAAATTAAAAAAAAATTTTTTTTCATTTTTTATTCTGATTACTGTAATTATTGGTGCCGCTTCTGAGCTCTAGAATATTTGCTTGACTTTTTCCAGACTAAGAGACGGCCACTGAAATGTACCCCTTGTCCTGTTTGGGTTTACTTTAAAGGTATTGGCCAGATTCGGCATTAAAATTGTAGAAATTCAGTATAACTACACTTTACCATCTATATAAATAAGAACTGGGTTCAGTTTTTCATTTTGTTAAGGAATTTTGTCATAAATGATTGCAGATAAAATCAAAATCCTCTCCTCCAGAGAGTGAAGAACTGTGTTCTGCAATCATCACTCCAGCGCGTAAAACAAGGTAGCTGCTGATGCTAGTATTGTGAATAACTGTACTTTGTTTACTTTCGTGCTCTTAATTATTACGGAAAATTGCGTTTACAGCTGCGGCAAAAGGTCTGAGCCATAAGTCTGTGTTCTACACGCATTTTTAAATAACAGGTCAGATCTAAAATAATAATCTACATCTATAAATCCATCTAGAATCGCACCGGTACTTCTGGACTCCGAGTCCTGTTAGCATGACTGCAGCAACACAGTTAACTGTGTTAGCTCTGATAAGGAAAAAGCAAGTCATTTGGGAAAGCTACGACACACACAGATATAATGTAAAAGATGATCCCCATATCAACAATAGATCCTCCGTGGACCAGTAGAACGTCCGTGCCATCCTGGATTAGTGCAAACGAGTCAAACTAAGGAGTTACTCCAGCATCAGGAAGATTTATTCTGGTGAGCTATTAGTTATATATTTTCCAGAGTTATATCAATATATGCATGGAGCCATAAAACTGGCAGCACACATATCTGTAGATTACTGAATTATATTGGGACACATGATGGAGCGAAGACCAGCTGAGAACTCGTCAGCTTAGAGCGGGAGTCGGCAACCCGTGGCTCTGGAGCCGCATGCGGCTCTTCCATCCATCCATCCATCCATCCATCTCTGTGCTTGTAAAATAATGAATGGAGATTTAATTAAATGCTTTATATTTTTACTGCATTAATTTTACATCTGTATGCCAATTCTAAATGTAAAGATTGTCTGCGTAAACCTGAACAGTTCCAACCCAGTCTTACTGTGAGACCGGGTTGGCGCGTCACGCTTGTGCGTAATCATAGGCGCTTCCTGAGCTGAAGAGGATGTGAGATTCTGGGCTTCTCCTCAGACGGCTCCTGGATGTGTCGCCACATTGGAGACAGGAACAAGCACTATTCAGCCAAAGTTTCATAATCAGGGAACATTTTCTAAGTGACAAGTCTCGCTTCAGTCGGAGGAATCTTCCCGCATGCGCTCTGGTTCTGTGACGCGCTCCAAGCCCTTCTCCACATCTTCAGCTCGCTGTGGACCTTATGTAGTACGCGCTGACAGTGAGCTGCGCTGAGCAGTGTCCAGCTCAGATGTTCAGATGGGAATCTTTTCTTGGGTGATTTAGCTACATCTGCGATGTGCGAAACAAATAAAATGTCAGTTCGTCTGCATGCGTCGGGGTAATTCTTTCTATTCTTTCTCCGTCAAACTAAACGGTCAAATACGGGAACTATCCGGTCAATGCAAGCCCTGCTTTTAACTGTTCTGTTTTCTTGTGAAAATTGTTGCAAAGAGATATAATTTAACTGGATTAACACCAGAGACAGGCACACTGCGCCGTTATCTCCGTCACTGTAAATGAGGGAAAAACAAAATGATCGGATCCTTTTCTGACCTTCCCCACCTACAAAGTTTAATTACAACAATCAAACGTGACAGAGCCTGGATCTGTATTCTGAACAGTCTAAACATGTTTTAAAAAGAAACGTATGACAAAAGTGGCACCTGCTCAGTAAAACCACCAACAGGGTGAAAAATATCAAAATATTGTAGGCAGAGACGGGCTACAACTTCTGGATCCACTTTATATAAATCGTTTTATTGATTATCTTTTTTATGAAAGATAACTTTGACAGACATGAGCGACCGGTACCGGCTGCTGTCGCCTGTTGTGAGCAGCTCTCTGCTGTCTGAGGGTAGGCCCCGCCCACAACGCCGCGGCTGCTGTGGCTCCTAGTGTTTTCTTTACTGTGGGAAACGGGTAATAATGGCTCTTAGATGGGAACAGGTTGCCAACCCCTGCCTTAGAGCTTGCGGTGGAGCACAGAAATGAAATATTTAACAAAAGTAAACAAACTGTACCGATTTTGGTTCTGAAGATGAACAGAATCCACCTCGATGTTCAAATCGGGTCATGGGTCTTCAGAGTCAAACGGTCTAAAACATGTCTGCACCTCCAGTAGTGATATCCAGCTGGCGGGATCGGAGTTCGGCTGAACTTCTACGGTAATCCAATATCTGTTCTTGTCGCCGTATCCCAGAGAAAAACCTAATCTGACCGACTAGCAGAGGCTTCAGAAGCTACATCTGACTGATGACACATTGTTCTCTGCTATAACTCTAATGCAGAAACACCGGAGTCAGGCGATGTTTACCATAGCGGTTTCAGCAGATCTCCTTGTGAAATGTCACCAGCTGCCCAGGGCTTAGACCGGAAGTTAGTTTCCGTTTTTCCCACGCCAGTAAAAAAAACTCAGATTTTCTTAAAATTCCAGCCGTGAAAATCCCAAAACCTTTTTCATCTGAGGTTTGACTACACATTTACACATGTTGTTCAAAGCAAATTTGCCTCTGGCCAATATCTTTAAGCTTTTATCCATTTTTATAGGAGTGTTTCTAGTTTTCCTGTCCTTTGACAAATTTAAACTGAAAGAATTATGTCATATTTACATGTTGTTCTTAGCATATATTAATATAAACCATGGTTTCTTAAGGTGTTTTAAGCACAACGTTGGATAAAGGCTTAATTAATAGAGTTATACTCATTTCATTAGCATGTTTCACTGATATCTGCAGCAGAAATCTTCAACAATTATGAATTAATATAAAAGAATAACAAAATCTCAGTTTTGAGATCCCTCGATGGTAAAGTCAGCTGAAACTCACCTGGAATGCTTGCCTCACACAGTGGAGCTTGGCTAGGAAATCTTGGTCTCCGTAACATTCAAGTAATTCCGTCCTGGCAACGAGAAGGAAATGTGTGAATTATCTGGTAACGGTTGCGTGATCACATGATAATTCTAAAACACCGAGTTTAACTAAGCAAACCAGCATCTATTTACGCAGAAAGCAACGTTAGCATCTACGGTGAGCTAAAAGTTTTATCCAGGTGAACCAAATCTGTTATAACTACACATAAACAATATTTAAACTGCTGGTTTTCATACCTCAGCGATCTAAATTTGACTTTGCCTTCCCGGACCAGAAACAGGGCCTCTTCGTAAAGAGCTGCAGGCTTCATCGGTGGATAGATCTCGTCTAGAGTCATGTTATCTAACAGCTGCACAGATGAAACACACACGTGTAAAAAGGTGCAGTGAGAATGCCGTGTGTGTGTGCGCGTGTGTGTGTGTGTGAATGGATGAATGAATGGTACACTGTAGTGTAAAGCACTTTGGAGTCCTAGGACTCTGAAAGATAGGTCGTTTATAAAAAAAGTTTCAGACAAACAACAGAGAATAGAAACTCACTTCTGCAGCTGAGAAAAAGGAATCCTCCGAGGAAATGGTAGTCGCGTCGTCGTCTCGTGGTCGATGGAAACTTTCTACTTGAGGCAACAGAAGAGTTCCTTCACTCTCTGCTAAAGAAAAGACAAACTCAATGTGCTCCAAAGACCTTTTTTCCATCTTTATTTATTGAGGTTAGGCTGGTAGTCAGTCTGTTACTGTTCAAATGTTTGAGCCTAGAATCCAGCTTAATTTTCCTTTTTTCATTCCAGCCGACTCTTACCAAAGTCTGCCAGCACACTCTCTGTTGGGATACTGCTGCCAAAATCCTCCTGTAGGTGGTATGCTCTGTGCAATAATGTCTCTAACTTCTCAGAAAAGGCTTTATTTTGGGCTTCAGCCTAAGACCAAACAAAAGAAAACGTTTAGTATCTGTACAGTAGCTCTGCTGTTCTACTACTCAGTGCACTGAAGGGCCGGAAGGTGAACCAAACAAAATCCAGAACAATGCTCGATGTCAACGTAAAGGCCAATTCAAAAGACGATGTTTGATGGTTACCGTGGGAACATCTTCACACGCTGCAGCCTGAAGGGCGAGGCTGTTGTTACAGGAGGCCGACTGGCTTTGATGACGAATGTTTAGGGCTTGTTCCCACTTCTGTAGAGCTTCCTCAAATAACTCCATCCCTGTAGGAAAAAGAGCAATGTGACTCGGGCTGTTTCAATGTAAAACCTGTCGATAAAGGGCCCTTGTACAGTAAGAGTAGAAAAAAGATGCAGATGCAGTCTATTCCTGCAGCTGTTTGCGCCAGTTGTTCTGTAAATACTGCTAACAAACAGAATTTATTCTAAATGAAACGCAGCCAACATCACCACACCTATGTTTTCAGGTCAACGTGTCTGCTGTGTTACAAGTCTACCGCCGGCCGAGTGGCATTCAGGACTAATGAGAGAAAACACTGTAACAAACACAAAACAATATTTTTACACACACACACACACACACACACACACACACACACACACACACACACACACACACACACACACACACACACACACACACACACACACACACACACACACACACACACACATATATATACACCCATCTAACGGATTATCAGGAACACCATACTAATACAGTGTTTGACCCCCTTAATTCTACGTGGCATTGATTCAACAAGGTGCTGAAAGCATTCTGTAGAAATGTTGGCCCATATTGATAGGATAGCATCTTGCAGTTAATGGAGATTTGTGGGATGCACATCCAGGGCACGTAGCTCCCGTTCCACCACATCCCAAAGATGCTCTATCGGGTTGAGATCTGGTGACTGTGGGGGCCGTTGTTGTACATTGAACTCATTGTCAAGTTGAAATGATTGGAGCTTTATGACATGGTGCATTATCCTGCTGGAAGTAGCCATCTGAGGATGGGTACATGGTGGTCATGAAGAGATGGACATGGTCAGAAACAATGCTCAGGTAGCCTGTGGCATTTAAACCATGCCCAATCGGCACTAAGGGCCCTAAAGTGTGCCAAGAAAACACCCCCCACACCATTACACCACCACCACCAGCCTGCACAGTGGTAACAAGGCATAATGGATCCATGTTCTCATTCTGTTTACGCCAAATTCTGACTCTACCATCTGAATGTCTCAACAGACCAGGCAACATTTTTCCAGTCTTCAACTGTCCAATTTTGGTGAGCTCGTGCAAATTGTAGCCTCTTTTTCCTGTTTGTAGTGGAGATGAGTGGTACCCGGTGGGGTCTTCTGCTGTTGTAGCCCATCCACCTCAAGGTTGTGAGCGTCGTGGCTTCACAAACGCTTTGCTGCATTCCTCAGTTGTAACGAGTGGTTATTTCAGTCAAAGTTGCTCTTCTATCAGCTTGAATCAGTCAGCCCATTCTCCTCTGACCTCTAGCATCAACAAGGTATTTTCGCCCACAGGACTGCCGCATACTGGATGTTTTTCTCTTTTCACACCATTCTAGTAAACCCTAGAAATGGGTGTGGGTGAAAATCCCAGTAACTGAGCAGATTGTGAAATACTCAGACCGGCCTGTCTGGCACCAACAACCATGCCACGCCCAAAATTGCTTAAATCACCTTTCTTTCCCATTCTGACATTCAGTTTGGAGTTCAGGAGATTGTCTTGACCAGGACCCCACCCCTAAATGCATTGAAGCAACTGCCATGTGATTGATTGATCAGATAATTGCATTAAGGAGAAGTTGAACAGGTGCTCCTACAATTACTGGTCAGTGGAGTCAGTGCAGTTTTGTGAGTTTCATGGCTGTTGCCAGTTACGAATCAGCACCAGAAGATTCTAGATGACAAGCAAAGACGAGTCAGACACAGTAAGTTGAAAGTAGATAAATACATTGTCATAGCTGGTGCTAGCACACTTAGTTGTTTTACGGCAGGGGACACTTACTACTCTTACAACGGTAATATGCCTCCGGCATAGAGGAAGAGTTGTTTTTACCATCTGGCTGTTAGCTTGTTGTTATAGATCTGAATGACTCATTAAATGAGGTAAAACACCAAGTTTGACTAATTATTCACTTCACGCAAACATTTCACTGTAATATGGAGATGTTGGTCATTGAAAAAGTAGCTTATGATATTTTTAGAGCTGTCTTTTGCTTCTAATTCACTGCTCACGCTGAATGCCAGTGTGCACTACAGTGGGGCAAAAAAGTATTTAGTCAGCCACCGATTGTGCAAGTTCTCCCACTTAAAATGATGACAGAGGTCAGTAATTTTCATCATAGGTACACTTCAACTGTGAGAGACAGAATGTGAAAATAAATCCATGAATTCACATGGCAGGATTTTTAAAGAATTTATTTGTAAATCAGGGTGGAAAATAAGTATTTGGTCAATAACAAAAATTCAACTCAATACTTTGTAACATAACCTTTGTTGGCAATAACAGAGGTCAAACGATTACTATAGGTCTTTACCAGGTTTGCACACACAGTAGCTGGTATTTTGGCCCATTCCTCCATGCAGATCTTCTCGAGAGCAGTGATGTTTTGGGGCTGTCGCCGAGCAACACGGACTTTCAACTCCATCCACAGATTTTCTATGGGGTTGAGGTCTGGAGACCGGCTAGGCCACTCCAGGACTTTCAAATGCGTCTTACGGAGCCACGCCTTTGTTGCCCGGGCGGTGTGTTTGGGATCATTGCCGTGGTGGAAGACCCAGCCACGTTTTATCTTCAAAACTCTCACTGATGGAAGGAGGTTTTGGCTCAGAATCTCACGATACATGGCCCCATTCATTCTTTCCTTAACACGGATCAGTCGTCCTGTCCCGTTAGCAGAAAAACAGCCCCAAAGCATGATGTTCCCACCCCCATGCTTCACAGTAGGTATGGTGTTCTTGGGATGCAACTCAGTATTCTTCTTCCTCCAAACACGACGAGTTGAGTTTATACCAAAAAGTTCTACTTTGGTTTCATCTGACCACATGACATTCTCCCAATCCTCTGCTGTATCATCCATGTGCTCTCTGGCAAACTTCAGACAGGCCTGGACATGCACTGGCTTCAGCAGCGGAACACGTCTGGCACTGCAGGATTTGATTCCCTGCCGTTGTAGTGTGTTACTGATGGTGACCTTTGTTACTGTGGTCCCAGCTCTCTGCAGGTCATTCACCAGGTCCCCCCGTGTGGTTCTGGGATTCTTGATCACCGTTCTCATGATCATTTTGACCCCACGGGATGAGATCTTGCGTGGAGCCCCAGATCGAGGGAGATTATCAGTGGTCTTGTATGTCTTCCATTTTCTGATAATTGCTCCCACAGTTGATTTTTTCACACCAAGCTGCTTGCCTATTGTAGATTCACTCTTCCCAGTCTGGTGCAGGTCTACAATTCTTTTCCTGGTGTCCTTCGAAAGCTCTTTGGTCTTGGCCATATTGGAGTTTGTAGTCTGACTGTTTGAGGCTGTGGACAGGTGTCTTTTATACAGATAATGAGTTCAAACAGGTGCCATTAATACAGGTAACAAGTGGAGGACAGAAAAGCTTCTTAAAGAAGACGTTACAGGTCTGTGAGAGCCAGAGATTTTCCTTGTTTGAAGTGACCAAATACTTATTTTCCAACCTGATTTACAAATAAATTCTAGTGTTGATTTCCTTCGTATGATTGCCCCTGTTGCCTCTGAGCTTTATTTGTGTTTTATCACAGATTTTAATACTTCATAAAAAACTGTATAAATAACGCCTTACCCATCAAATAGAGGTTCTCTGCATTGACATCCTCTACTGCCCCCGCTTCCTCAACCACAGGCTCTGCCTCCCAAGGGGTGGGGGGATTAGCAGACTGATTTGGGGAGTTTGGGACTCGTGTCTATGTCAAACACACACACACACACACACACACACACACACACACACACACACACACACACACACACACACACACACACACACACACACACACACACACACACACACAAATAAACATCAAGCACACAAAAAAGTTGTCCAAGTAAAAATGGTATTAAATTTAGCCAAAATTCTACATTTTGAAAATAAACTTACAGACGCCAAGCTGTGGGAGGAACTCGAGTGTTTACTGGGAGCCAAGGAGGAGATTCCACTCATGGTGTCATTGCTCCGAGAGCTGGGGCTCATCATCTGTCGACTGGTAAGTGGAACTGTCTCAAATAAGAAGGAAAAGGAATTTTAAGAGTTATTTCAAACCGCTAAGTGTTTTCATTTTCAATAGTTTCACCTCTCTTTAATGATGACGGTCTTCCTGTTTTCAACAGAGCCTCGGGTATGCCCACGATTTTATGGCCATCCTTTGCTTGTATCGCCTGTTTTCTTTTTCTCCCTCGCCTTTTCAGCTGATGAGCAGTGAGAGCCAGAGCCACGCTTCCTAGTGCCGTGGCAAACAGGACCTTCTTCAGGCTTGGGGAAAGCTTCAGCTGGGAAAATATTGACTGAAAACAACAGGAACAGCAAACATCCAAATCACATATCATACATTTACACCCATTTTTTTGTACCAGTTTAAAGGTCTCACCTGCCCAAATGTGGAGTAGAGAAAGACCGGTATCTCTGCTACAGTCATGGCTAAAGCCTGGGCGATTGACATCCCCTCTCCTCGTTTGAGAGACATTTCAGGGACTAAAATGCCTCTTGTCCCAGTCCTCCAAAAGTCACTCACGTTCAGCCAAAAACCTGCACAATCTGCTCTCAGATCAGCTGATGCTTAGCTCGCTGATTGAGTTCCTGCAGCCATCCACTCATGAACCTGGGTTTGATGATGGGGCCTATAACAGACAAGACAACCAACAATCCTTTAAAAATGTTCACAATGCAATGACTTGCAATATCCCCTTTGTGATTTGAAATGAGTTTTAAAGTGTAGTGACTAACATTGTCAGATATAACGGCCTAATTTTAAATAAATAACCAAAGAATTAAAAGCCGTCTATGATCAAACAAGATCTAGTTGCCTTTGAATGACCATTACAGGGGTTGTTTCAAGGGTCCAGGCCTGTTTCTCAGTATCCTTTCTGTGCTTTATTCTACATAAATCAAGTTAACTAAAGCTATTGAATCAGAATATTGAAGTTTGATTGGGACAATGTTAAAATATATCCTGATCAACCCTTCTCAAAGAACCGGGCGAGGGGTCCGCTCGCTGAAGAAGATCCAACGGCGAGGAGCCTTTTGGGACCCAGCAGAACTTAACAGATGTAATACCAAACACTATCATAGCTTGAATATTTCTTGTGATGATCTTCAGCTGCAGCTACAGATTCACAGGTGACTGTGCTTTTTTTTTTTTAACACAGATGAAAAAAGTAATCAGTGCATGTTGTCTTAAAGCAAAGTGCTTATATGAGCTAAAATAGCTAGATGGTCGACTTTTTGCAAGATACAATATCGGTGTCAGTGTGTTGACAAAGCATGAAATAAAAACAAATGATAGTTAATGGATGCTCTGTAGAAATAATCTACTTTTAAAAGTAAACTGGTGTTTGTTTTACTGCACATTTCCTCCAAATGCTGATAAAGGTCAAACTGTCCTGATCTGTTTGTAGAGGCTGTTTGCATTATATCACTGCACAAAAATAATCCCATTACTTGTATTAGTTCCAAGGCAGTCTTGCATTAGTTTAACCTTTGCAAACCAAGATCGCATTAACAGTTACAACCTGACAAGCAGACAGCTAGATGTCTGACTTAACTCAGTCTGAAATGCATTGAGACAGCGGACCAGCCTGCCATGGAGCTATTGTGCACCAGAAACTGGCTGGACAGCATTGCTGAAGCAAAGCTGTAAAAACAACAGTATTAACCACCAGTGCATCACGTACAATCATTGTATTCCATGTTTACAGTAAGATCTAAATGCGAAAGGCTGCTAGGCTTTAAAGCCCACCCAGAAAGCAAGAGCGAAATTCAACCCTGTGACTGTTTACTCAACTTTAGCGTAACAACAGCACAACCACACGGAGCTATTTGTTAAAAACTCGTGCTACACACAGACCGAAATGAGCACCAACAGGACAACTGTGATTCTGAGTGAGAAGTACGCTAACGTTGGTTAGCTCATTTAGTTAGCCTCTCTCATTGCGAGCGGTCAGTTCACATAAATGGGTCAGTCGGACAATGACTGTAAAGCTTTAAAGTGACACCTCAAAGGCTTCATCATCTGCTCTGCGTAAAGACCTGGCCAACAACTAATAACATAATCCTTCGCCAAGAGGAACATACCGTAAGCATCCAAGACGTCAGAGGACATCCCCGTGACACCGTCCGTGAAAGCAGCACAGGTTTTACAAAGGGGTGGGAGTCGGGAAGCAAAAATACTGACAATGCTACAAGCCAATCAGAAAAGAGAACTGGTAAGGTTGGCTTTTCTAAGCCAATAACGTGAAAGATAGGCGGGATTGTTTGGTTTTTGCTCCAATCAGTTTACACCAATGGTTCTATTTTTTTTTCTTATTTTTAACTCAAATATGTAATCTTTCATCTGTTTATGAAAATTATCATTTTATGACTTTATTATTTCTTTATTATTTCAGCGCCTTCGGCTTCCTGACAGGGTTGCGAAAGGCGCTTTATAAATAAAGCTTTGATTTGATTTGATTTTTGATGTTAATCTATTTCATTGTAACTTCATTTTTTCTGATGCAAATCTATTTCTGTTTAGAGATTTAATGACTATGTTTTATTTTGATCTATGTGAAGCACTTTGTGATTCTATAACTGTGATAAGTGCTATATAAATAAAATTTACTTATTACTTACTTCATACGTATATCAATGTTCACGTACAAACAGAGCTTTTAGAAAAGTTTCGGAGCATGTGTAAAAAGAAAACGTGATGCTGTAATAAATTTTAAATTAAAAAGTAATCTATAAATTTGATGTACAATGTTAATCTATTTATTATGTTTTTATTCCTGATGTTTTTTCAGATATATTCATGTGAAATTAATTTTAAAGTGCCTTAAAAAATGACAATTATTTAAAATATATGGAAGCAGGAACTAACTATCTATCTATCTATCTATCTATCATCCATCTATCTATCTATCTATCTATCTATCTATCTATCTATCTATCTATCTATCTATCTATCTATAAACATACATATATGTATATACATATATATGTATATATATATATATATATATATATATATATATATATATATATATATATATATATGTGTGTGTGTGTGTGTGTGTGTGTGTGTGTGTGTGTGTGTGTGTGTGTGTGTGTAAGGATGCACCTCCATTCTTTCAATTAGCATATTCATGTGAAATTGATTTAAAAGTTTCTTAAAAAATGACAATTATTCAAAATATATGGAAGCAGGAACTCTCTCTCTCTCTCTCTCTCTCTCTCTCTCTCTCTATATATATATATATATATATATATATATATATATATATATATATATATATATAATGTATATACTGTATATATATATGTATATATATATGTATCTATGTATATTTTTTTAAATAAATGCTGATTTACGACTAGTATGGATGCGTATGTGTAACAAAAATCATATTATGCAGTAGCAGAAATGATATTTCATTTTCATATTACCACTGCTAAATTTGACTCATAAGTAAAATTAATAAGCAATCTTCCAAACTGCTTTTTAATTTTCTTCTTCCTCATTGCTTATTCTGTGACTTAATGAAAAGTATAAAGAAAAAACATTTCAGATTTAATTTTCAAATAACACTCCAGCAAAAATGTAACAAAATTCAATTTGAAATGAGGATGAGTTTGAACTGTTGCTCCATGTAAATGACTTTACATTAGGATTTTTGATTCGCCCGATTTCTACTAAGTTAAAATTATTCATAAATGCATTTATGTAAACAGATGGAGATAGTTGTATTCTTGGTGACCATCTATCTAAGAAAGGACCAGGAACTGTATTAAAATCACCTCCCACTATTAAAACAAGGATATTTTGATAACCATGACAAAAGTCGTGTTTCTATAACTTCTAATAATTTCTCATTTTCTCCTTTAGAGTTGCAAGAAGAAAGAATGTTCCATCAGCATCAACAATCAGTAACAGATAATGACCAGTAGGATCTGAATCAGAATGCATGACTGTTGGGTATTTTTATTTATTTATTTATTTAATCCAGGTGTACCTCAAAGAAAGTCCAAAACACACAAGGGGGTTAGAGATAATACAGTTATTAATACCAGTAATTAATAAACATAAATAATCAATAATCAGAGATTGTTGGGAGAGACAAAAGAACCACGCACACATGGGGGGGGGGGGGGGCGGTTTAGTCTCCCATCGAGCAGAAGCTCATCAAAAGGTTTTATTCACAGATGACACGAAACGTACACATTAAAGATGACCACACCCATCCCTTCACAGACACTGAACTTTCCCAGATTCAGAGAAGCTTTGTTGTGATAACACGACTGCAGACTTACAAGGTCGATTTTCCCCTCCAGCAGGAGCAAAACAACACCAGATGGTTTCCCAGACAAAATCATTATAAATGTGGATAAGGGTAATGAACTCTGTTTGACAGAATAACACTATTTTTATCCAACAATGACATTCCCATTGAACTTGTTTTTTAAAATAGTAACTCCTGCAGATCTTTCTGAACCATGTAAGAACCATTAGTCGTTGCTCCACTGTGTTTTCCAAAAAGTAATGTCTTGTTTAACAGAATGTGACTCTTGAAAGAAAACAAAATCAGTCTTCAGCTGGCTAGCATATAAAAATAATGCTTTACGTTCAACAGTATCTCTTAGACCCCTGACATCAAGAGAAAACAATGATATGGACAATGTAGCTTAACACAGAATTTAACAGCTCCCCTCATCTCATGAACGTCAATCATAAAAAATAATATGAACTTTAACATCTGACCCTTTTTTTAATTTTTTTTAAAAATATATCCCCTTATTCCTCAATAGGCCAAGCCGGCATAAAAGTGGTAGCTTTTATTTGTTGCCTCCATGATTTTGGGTGACCTCCATCGAAGCATGATCTTCAGTTGAAGTGGAAAGAGGATGCACCTCCTTTCCTTCAATTAGCACCTGGATTCCAGCAAAATTTGCTCTCTTTCCTTCTTTTCTTGCTCTGTCTATAATAGGCCAAAGCTTTTCTCTGAGTGCTCTATCATCAGCAGTGAGATCCTCGGTGAATCTCAGGTGTTTATCCGTCAGGAACACGCTGCTTTTGGCTTTCCTCCATATCAGGTCGCGCGCCGACCTGGTGGAGAATCGAATGATGAGGGATCTTGGCTTTCCCTGAATATCCTGGTAGCGGCCCAAACGATGGGTTACATCAACACAGCCTTTTGAAGCCTTCATTTGTTTCTCCAGTAATAGCACAGCAGATGTCGACAACTTTGCTGGTGATATCTTCTTGCTTCTGCTCCGGGACGCCATGATGCGTCAGGTTCCATCTGCAGTGATCTCTCAAGGTCGTACTTGAGACAGTCTTTTGTCATTGTTCTCAGAAGTAGCCTTGACTGTTTTGGTGATTTTTTTTTTAGGGATTCGACCTCAGAGTACATAAAGTCAATGGACGTCTTTATGGCCTCAATGTTCTCAGTATTTTTACTGATCAGAGCCTCTAAATTATCTGAGCGTTCATTAATTAGTGCAGCAATGTTGTTCTGTAAATCAACAAGAGTTACATCACTTTTTTGCTTTTTATGAATCTGGGTTGGAGTTCGGCAACGGCGTCAGCTCTGGGTTTAAACTGCGGTTGTAGTCATGATAAGGCTGTCTCTAAGAGTAGATTTTGAGCTGCTTGCATCATTATCTTTATTCATCTTTTTCAGTAGGCTTTTTGTTAGGAGTTATGGTTTAGGACCAGCTTCTTTTTCCTTCTTCTTATGTCCTTGAGTTTTCCAGGACACGGCGTTAGCAATATCTGGACCATTCTGGTTTTGCTAACTAGCTACCGCTCATCGAGGTGTGCAGTAAAAAAAGAAAAAATCTGAGTATTTTCAATCACAAAAGGATATAAGCTCTGGGTGAACACTCTAGGAGGTCAACAACTCACAGTAAGCTAAGGTATTGCAGTTGGGAGGGGATATAGCTACTCCTATACGTTTAGCTATGAAATGAAACGTCCGTCTCGGTCGCCATCTTGGCTGCTCAGGATGGCTAATTCAATTAGAATTATGAAACGCTTTCTGTAGGGCGGGCATGAAAAAGACAAATCAGTTCCTCTTTCTTTATCCTTAAATGAAGTCACAGAATGGGCAGTGATGAAGAAAAAAATTGAAAGCAGTTTAAAGGATTGCTGTATCATTTTAATTGTGAGTCACACTAAGCAGTTGAAAAGTGAAAATGCATTTCTACTAATGCATTTTATGATAAATGATAAATGACCCGCACTTGTATAGCGCCTCTCAGAGTAAGGACTCCAAAGCGCTTTACACTAGTGTATCATTCATTCATTCACACACACATTCACACATTTGTGGGGATGAGCTACGATGTAGCCACAGCTGCCCTGGGGCGCACTGACAGAGACGAGGCTGCCGAGCACAGGTGCCACCGGTCCCTCCGACCACCACCAGCAGGCAAGGTGGGTTAAGTGTCTTGCCCAAGGACACAACAGCAGAATTCTCTGTCCGGAGCCGGTCGAACCTGCAACCTTCCAATTACTGGACAACCCGCTCTACCTGTCCAGTCCAGATTTCACATTTCAAACTGAATTTTGTTACACATTTGCTGGAGTGTTATTTGAAATTTTGTTATCAAATGCCTTTTTCTTTATCATTTTCATGAAGTCACAGAATAAGCAACGATGAAGAAGAAAATGAAAAGGCAGTTTTGAGAAATGCTTTTTCATTTTAATTGTGAGTCACAAAGTAAGCAGTTGTGTAGTGAATATGAAAAAGCATTTCTGCTAATGCGGTTTAATTTTCAAATTTGACATTTCAAATAGAATTTTGTTACATTTTTGCTGGAGCGTTGTTTGAAAATTAAATCTTAAATGTTTTTTGCTTTTTACTTTTCATTGAGTCACAGAATAAGCAACGATGATGAAGAAAATTAAAAAACAGTTTGGTAGATTGCTTATTAATTTTTTTACGAGTCAGATTTGGCAGTGGTAAAATGCAAATGAAATATAATTTCTGCTACTGCATAATAAAATGATTACACATACGCTTCCATAATAATTCACATCAACCTGCAAAATGTATTTGATGACTTTTGTTGTGAAAGGGCCTTTCCGGAAGCGGTAATCTGTATAAAGGAAACGGTGCAGCTGAGCTAACAATCAAAGCGGTAAAGTTTTTGGCAAGAGAAGATGGCAGCAGACAGGTTAATATATTGGGTTTTGTAAACAAACACAACAACAAAAAAAGAGAAGAAAAATGGACCTAATCTACCGCGCGATAAAACAAAAGTTATGACGAGTGGAGAAAAGGCTGCAGTGTGAGTTAACCCGAAGACGCTACGGACATATTTGAAAAATGTCTTCTTGACCAATGAAAGCCTCCGTTCCCCGTGATCCTGAGCGGTGGGCTTCCCCACATGCCTTGAAATGAGCACTTTGGTGAGAAAGTCTGGATGTACACCTTTCAGCCTGCAATCGTGGCCGACGCAGATTTTTCGCCGCTGGCTTTGCCTGCTGAGCCTGAGCTTACTGCTGCTGTTCTGGTTCGGTCTGCTCATCACCACACGGGACGATGCGTCCTCCCCTGCGGCTACACGCAGCTCGGGTCTCCGGGGCTACATGCGGATCAGCCCCGCCAAGAGGAGACTGGTGAGGAGGTCCCACATTCCAACAGAAAACAGTCAGGTCTCACGAAATGATCGTGTATTAAAGTAGAATTTTTTTAGATAATGTGTTAATATAATTTAAAATTCGATATCAGTGTGTAAATAAATGATATATTTAGTTGAAACCCCACATCTTTAGCACTTTTTTTAGTCTGATCTAATACAAATCAATCACTTTACACTGTTTTTCATTCTGTCATTCACACAAAAGCTCATGTAGTTCTGCTTTTACTTTCCGGTTCAGCATCCACCCACCCTGAAATTCCTGCCTGCCTAGCATATTTTATTTATTTATTAATTTTAAAGCCATATACTAAGTTTAAATGGCATAATTTTATAACTTCAAACTCCATTTTCTGTAATTTTTTCTTATTAACAGTTTCTGAACATCCACTGTAACCAGTGTGCCTTGGTCTCCAGCTCGGGCCAGATGCTTGGTGCTGATGCTGGAGAGGAGATTGACCAAAAAGGATGTGTGATCCGCATGAACAATGCACCCACCAGCGGGTACGAGAAGGACGTTGGGAGCCGCACCAGCGTTCGGGTCGTGTCCCACACCAGTGTTCCCCTATTGGTAGAAAATGAGCAGCACTATTTTCATGAGCTGGCGGGCACAACATATGTGTTCTGGGGTCCTGAGAGGAATATGAGACAAGATGGGAAAGGAAAAATTTTCAATGTCCTCTTGAAGATGGCCTTGAAGTATCCAAATGTCAGATTATACGCTTTGACCAGAGATAAGGTCCAATACTGTGATGGCGTGTTCCAGAACGAAACAGGAAAAAACAGGTATGGTTTGGGTTTGTTGTCTACTGTGTTGGGAGTAGCAGAGTTTAAGTATAACAGCGTTATTTTTTGTAACGAAGCAGTGATGCACCGTTGTAATAATATCACTGTTATGGTTGATAATCGATATAGTGACACTAATGCGTCTAAAATCAGCAGATTTTGCATAGAATGAAAATTATTAAAGCTGAATTTACATTATTATGGTCACACACCACACACATCATCTATGCTTCTGAGGTGATTACAATCACTTGTCACATGACTAAACAAATACACATCACCCCTCTCACCATCTAAAATACTTAAACAAACCGGCCGGTTGAAGCTGGCTCTTTCTTGGAGGAGCCGGAGTGAGTGACACAGACTCGGACTCCCCATCCTACCCCGAGCCGGTGTTACAAAATGAACACAAGCACCGAACACACCAGGCTGTTTGCAGATCAGAGATACGTGTGAATTAGTCTTGTGGATCAAATCCACAGATTTCATATACGTAGACACCCTGGACTGGCGCTGCTTATTAGAGCTGGCATAGCAGCAGGCTGCCATCTTGGATGGGCCCCCATTTGCCCCCAGTGCATTTATTTCTACTGAGAAAGGTGTTTACCCAACTAAAAAACACATTTTATTATTATACTTTTTCCACAAAATCAGACATATGGTATGGTATAATAAAAATATAAATATAATTAAACAAAATAAATTAAATAATCCCTGTAATAATGTTTTCAATGGTGCGCTGGTGGTTGCAACCATAGTATGCACAATAAACGGGCATAGTTGCTCACTCTGCATTGGCTCCACTTGGGTTTGGAGAGTGAAAAACCCACCCAATATGGCGGCGATGCTGTTATCCTCTCCAGTGCCCAATGGAGTGTCTACGTATTCATGTTGATGATCAAATCAGCATTTTTTGGCAACATTCATAATATACCAACACAGTATACAGCTGAAAACATTCAAAATGTCCCCCATCTCTCATATCTTCGTTAGCATCTTTATGTTAATTTGAACCTTTTGAGCAAGAGCGTAGGCTTGGCGTGGACGGAGGTCACATAACCCCACCGATATCCAGCGATGACCAAATAGTCCCCACCAATAATTTGACCACCCCCGCTAAAAAGCAACCAGCAGAAAAATGGTGCGTTATTACCCTTCTATGATATTTTTAATAAAGAATATGTCACTGCTTTCTCCTTCAGAATGAAAACTGGGGCCTATCTCAGCACAGGTTTCTTCACAATGATCCTAGCTCTGGATATGTGCGACAGCATCAGCGTTTACGGAATGATCGACAATAACTACTGCAGGTGAGACTTTTCTTTTACTCTCATGTGTAATTGTAAAAAATTAATAATTGATCACTTGGATGTAAATCCGGTGCCTTCTCCTGACAGTCGAGCCAACCACAGCGTTGTACCTTACCATTACTATGAGCGAAACCGTGTAAATGAGTGCAGGATGTACAAATTCCACGAGAACGCCAAACATGGAGGACATCGCTTCATCACTGAGAAAGCCATCTATGCTAAATGGGCAAAGCACCACAAGATGCATTTCAAACACCCGTCTTGGAGCATATGAGGGAAACAATTCAAAATCTGTGAAGTACTTTATTAGTATTATTAGTATTACTACATTCGTTAAAATAATTTTATATGCTACTGGATTCCGTTTGTTGATTACAAATATGTAAGCGAGTACATAGACCCTGGATACGCCCGATGTGCTTCTTGCTACTGAATATTCCTCTCATGTGTAACGGTGTAGATGCTGGAAAACCCTGATAAGTAAAGTACATGTATGCCAAAGCTTTCAGGTTGAAGTTATATTAGTTACCCGTGCCTTGACTTTTAGTTTTTTCTCTGTTAAATGATTCACTTTAAGCTGCAGTCTGTCTTACCCCGGGTTTCCACGGGAGCCGACAGCAGCACGTTACTGCAGCAGCACGTCTTGCTCGCGTAAGCTGCTGCTTGGCCCTTCCCACGAGATGCGAAGCAGCAGGGGAGCAGCTGTCACCGACCGAGCACAAAGTCACACGAGTGACTTCGTCAGTAAACACAACAACAAGCAGGAGAAAATTACAACATGGCTCCAAAAGGTTTGTGTTTTATGTTCTGTCCGTTTTATAATCGCCAATACGGACCTGAAAAACAGGAGATCGCTAGCTAGGTGATAACTTCTCACGGGGCCGCACATTTAGTAACCTTTTTTAAAAGTAAAGCAACCGGAAGGCAGTACGTTTCTTTATTCTGAAAATCTCGGAAGCTTCTCTCCATTTCCACGTCCGATTTCCTGTCTTTCCTTCCCCAAAAATGTCGAACTTGACCCGTTTCAGAGGCGTCGCGCGTAGAAAATAGAACCGGCGCGTAAAGGCCGCGACATGCTGCTCCTGAGACGCGGCCGACTCGCGCTGCTGACGGCTCCAGTGGAAAAGGTTCTGTTGACCACAGCGGTTCCTATCAGCAGCTATGACGTGCTGCTGCAGTAACGTGCTGCTGACGGCTCCTGTGGAAAGCCGGGGTTAGTCATTGCAATTTAAAGCTACAAAACATAGTGCACATGTACTCTTTGAGACGGCAAATGTATTGTACAGGAGGCTTGAGATTAACTACATGTATTATTTTCTGTGCATTTTTATTAGAAATATTTGAGGTCATAGAGATCTCTCCATGGAAGTGTACCGTTGGTGGGGAGAAAACTATACGTGCAGTAATTCGTAATAACACGAGTTTCTCGTTATAACAAGATATGGGTTGGGCGATAAATCAAAAATGTATCGTAATTTCTGACTATCATTTTTTTACATGTCAATACATTTGGTAGTAAAGAAGTGAAAAGATGTGTGTATGTTGGCGACGTTCATGTCCCTTCAGGAAACTGTACCACCTTGAGTCACATGACAACGTGACTCAACTTTTGTTTTTGAGCATACATGTAGGTATCGTCCATTTATCGTTATCGAGGTGAACTCCTCAATATACTGTGATTTTGATTTTAGGCCATATAGACCAGCCCTATAATGAGATATTCAGTTATTTTAATGTGAAACTATCTCATAATAATGACAGTATTTTTAAGTATTTTTAATTAGTTTCTCAATATAACTTGTTAAAATCTCATAATGGGCTCATATTGGTAAAACACACAAATCCTAAAAGGATGTTTGAATCTCGTCCAGAAAAGATGGAGTCAGAGAGGGACTATGCATTTTTACAGGGATTTTCCACCCCTTAGTGAAATGTGGTGTTTTGCCATATTCCCCAGAGTTAGATCATCAGTCCAGTGTGGCGGCATGTAATTTGCTGACTTATGCACTGTTGTTCAGCAGATTTCCCTTGTCGAACAATGCAACAACATTTAATGGCCATTTTACCACTCCGACCTTTCTCGTTATTAGAAGATATTAAACACGTTATTTGAAACACTTTCGTTAAAATTACTTATGTCGTATCATAAGAACGTTTTTCTTTTGTTGTAATATTTCTTTGACGTTATAACAAGAAACATTCTCATTTTTACGAGTTATTGGGCCATTATTTTTTTCCTCACACTGGCGGTAATATGCTTCCGTACCTGGCTACGCAGTTACTACAGAAATCTATTTGTTTAATTTTTCAGGTGTTTTCTTCTCTTCTTCCTTTTGTTGTTATTTTGCCTCAAAAAAAGGACATTTCTCTCAATGAAAAGTCAAATTTTAAGCTTGCCTAAATCTTAGGGCTGTTGCATTAGTTTCACTGTGAGCTTGAAACGATGATAGGATTTTTTTTAATTTTAACGGAAAAGCTGTTTATACTTGATCCTATCATTAGCATTTTAAATGGTGCTTTTGCTCCACTGGTGAAAACGAGTGTCTCCTTTCACCACTGCTCCCGTGACTGAGCTGATCAGTTTCCAGTGTGGATCCGTTTACCCTAAGTAATCACCACTAGAGCCTACGGTTATCTGGAATTCATCCAGCCTTTCTAATGAAGCTGGCATGTTCTCAACAGGCCGAACTGAACTAATTAACTCAACTACAGATCAGTCAATCCTGGAATTTCATCTCTGTGTTTTGGAGGGGACACGAGAAGAGATCATAGGATGTCATTTAAGGGCAATGCAGTTTGTGTTTCTATGGTGATGGCTGTGAAACATCTTCTGGTATCGAAGGTCAAATAAATAGAAATGTTTGTGTCTTCATGGCCTTTTTATATTTAGCTGCCTGTATACAATTTAAAGGACAACATAGCACTGCCTCTCCATTACTGTTTTTTGCATTCAATCCAAAGTCCATATCCGTACTCACACTTAAAGTGTTGTACTATAAATTGTACTTACAGCTACTGGGTTATATGAACAAAAACATGAATGTACTTTTGAGCAATGGCCACCTCTAGAGGAAGAAAAGCGTCACAATAAATAAAAATATGCTGTCAAATAAATTCTTCTTGTCTCGTTCATTTTTTTTAATAAACAAATGTTTTTAGATTAAAGGCTGAAGATTTGGCAAACAGACTTATTTTTTTATTTAGGTTGGAGAAAGGTTTGAGTAAAATCATAAAACCAAAGCAAATGTGTTCAATTCAAGTTTATTTATATAGCGCCAAATCACGACAAGAGTCGTCTCAAGGCACTACACGTAGTAAACATTCCAATACAGGTCGGTTCATTAAGCCAATCAGTAAAAAAAATCCTCTAAGGAACCCAGCAAATTGCATCGAGTCATTGACTAGTGTCAGTCTACAGCAATCCTCATACTAATCAAGCATTTAGCGACAGTTGAGAGGAAAACTCCCTTTTAACAGGAAGAAACCTCCGGAGGATCCTGGCTCAGTATAAGCAGCCATCCTCCACGACTCACTGGGGATCGAATAGACGGAGCAGACACACACACACCTACACAACATACACTCACCTAAAGGATTATTAGGAATGTCGTTTAAACTTCTCATTAATGCAATTATCTAATCAACCAATCACATGGCAGTTGCTTCAATGCATTTAGGGGTGTGGTCCTGGTCAAGACAATCTCCTGAACTCCAAACTGAATGTCAGAATGGGAAAGAAGGGATTTAAGCAATTTTGGGCGTGGCGTGGTTGTTGGTGCCAGACGGGCCGGTCTGAGTAGTTCACAATCTGCTCAGTTACTGGGATTTTCACCCACACCCATTTCTAGGGTTTACTAGAATGGTGTGAAAAGGGGAAAACATCCAGTTTGCGGCAGTCCTGTGGGCGAAAATGCCTTGTTGATGCTAGAAGTCAGAGGAGAATGGGCCGACTGATTCAAGCTTATAGAAGAGCAACTTTGACTTAAATAACCACTCGTTACAACTGAGGAATGCAGCAAAGCGTTTGTGAAGCCACAACACGCACAACCTTGAGGCGGACAGGCTACAACAGCAGAAGACCCCACCGGGTACCACTCATCTCCACTACAAACAGAAAAAAGAGGCTACAATTTGCACGAGCTCACCAAAATTGGACAGTTGAAGACTGGAAAAATGTTGCCTGGTCTGTTGTGTCTGGATTTCTGTTGAGACATTCAAATGATAGTCAGAATTTAGCGTAAACAGAATGAGAACATGGATCCATCATGCTTTGTTACCACTGTGCAGGTTGGTGGTGGTGGTGTAATGGTGTGGGGGATGTTTTCTTGGCACACTTTAGGCCCCTTAGTGCCGAATGGGCATGGTTTAAATGCCACGGGCTACCTGAGCATTGTTTCTGACCATGTCCATCTCTTCATGACCACCATGTACCCATCCTGATGGCTACTTCCAGCAGGATAATGCACCTAAAGCTCTAATCATTTCAATTGATTTCTTGAACATGACAGTGAGTTCACTGTACAACAACGGCCCCCACAGTCACCAGATCTCAACCCGATAAAGCATCTTTGGGATGTGGTGAAACGGGAGCTACGTGTCCTGGATGTGCATCCCACAAATCTCCATCAACTGCAAGATGCTATCCTATCAATATGGGCCAACATTTCTAAAGAGTGCTTTCAGCACCTTGTTGAATCAATGCCACGTAGAATTAAGGCAGTTCTGAAGGTGAAAGGGAGTCAAACACTATTAGTGTGGTGTTCCTGATAATCCTTTAGGTGAGTGTACATATGCTTCAAAGCAGCATATTCTTTTAGAATATTATATAGATTATAGAATACTGTGTCCGGTTCACCTGTCCTTCAGCTTTAATTATACCACACAATATCATTGATAACTCCCAGATAATTGGATTTTAGATTTGGATGAAACATTTTCTTCTCCCAGCAGGTCCCTCTGAAAAATCAAAGTCCAAAGGTAAACTTTGCAAAACCATCAGAAAACATTTTTTTAAAATGACCCAGAACAGTGCTGGATTATATATAAAAAAAAACTATTATTTGCCTAAACCCTTTTAATGTTGTTCCACAACTACAATATTGCAGTTTTATTGTAAATTTAAAAAGCCAAATCAGAAGAAACTGGACGGTGGACGTTGCTGCTGTTGAACTCTCATCTGAACACAAGTCAGCAGCTGGCGAGTCCTCGCGCTTTTAGAGCGTGCTGCAGTGGGAGAGAAGCGGTGGTGACGTCACTGAAATGGCGCAGGAAGATTGGGAACGAGAGAGAAGGTAGCCATCAAACCTAGACCTCCAACAACACGACGAGGTAAACACCGGGCTCTGTTAAAGCGCCGTCACACCCACGTGGAGGTGGTTAGCAGCAGGACTTTCTGCTGGTGAGAAATGTAATAAGTGTCGGTGGTGAAAAGAGAAATGTCGGATGCCGCAAGATGGTGATTCCGTTTACGTATACTGCCTTAAATGTACACGATCTTAAGCACCATCGGTATTAAAATAGCTCGAGACTGGATGATGCGGCTGTCAGCATGCTTTCATCTTCTGAGTGTTTATACGGTTAGATAAATGTGTGCGTGTGTGTCCACAGGTATGATGACAGAAGGTGACTCATCTGGTGATGATCGGACAGCATGAGGCTCAATGGGAAGGTAGGAAACGTGAAGCGAGGAGGGCGTAGCACCACACACCCCTTTATCGCGCAGAGTGACGCACGTGATGGAGAAAGTGATCAGATACTTTAGTGCGTACCAGCAGCGCATGTGTGTTTACAGTGTAGCTCATCAGCGCTTTGATGTCTTCTGTCTCAGAAAGACACTAGTGCTGCTCATTTACACATAAACATCATTAAGATGCAGGAGCACATCAGGGACTGGTCTACTGCCCCCTACATTTCTGTCCCTAAAGTGAAGCCTGAAATCAGTCTCTTACAGTCAGCAAGTCACCCCCAAATCAGAGTAGACAGTTCTTGAAAAAAAGCATCAAGCATAAAGCCAAAACTGTCAGGTAATGATAGTTTTGCTCATCAAGATACTTGCCTGTCCAAGATTAACCCTAGGCACCACAGTTTTTATCTCTTTGATAAACTGTATACCTGTAAATGAGAGTTGACAGTGCTCTAGACGTGTAGTAGTTACTTTGGCATTTTATTGCTTCGTATTTAAAGGTGTGGACAGTGAAAAACAGTTTCAATAATTATTTCTGATTATAGTCAGTCAATCTGAGTTTGTACTGCAAGCTGAACATAAAAATTGCAGCATTCTGAAACACCCAAAAGGTCTACGTCACTCTCATTTAACATTCATGGAAACACCCATCTTGACTCATGATGGGGAATGCTGTTGTTGCTTTAGCATCCGGGCAACAGCAGAAAGTAAGTATGTGTGTGTGTGTGTGTGTATATATATATATATATATATATATATATATATATATATATATATATATATATATATATAATTTTTATTTTTTTTTGAAGTGTGGAAATATGGCAAACATTTTCAGCTGAATTAAATCCTCCAATTCTTTTCTGAGCTTGAAACTTCAATCTACTAAAGTCTAAAACCTGTATTAGCTAATTACGACTGGGATGTCCAATCAGCCAGGTCTTAGGAAAAAGTAATAAAAAAGTGTCATATTAAAAATAAGATATTCCAACTGCTGTCATTCTCACTGCAGGGTCAGCAAAGCCACAGGATGGCGGTCCTCCTCGCCATTTTTGTTCTGATGACGGCCCTCATCTTCTACAGCTCTAACAGCAGTGAGGGCCTGTACAGTCCCTTCCATGCGGTAACAAATAACTTTGTCAAGAGCACAAACCTGAAGAAGTGGTCTGGGAAAGATGGCTACATACCACTTTACAGGAACAAAGTAGGTTCACTCAAATGTTTTTATTGCAGCTGAAATACACATGGCTAGCTGATGTAGTGTAGCTAGCTAAGCAACTTTAACCCAGCAATGCTAATTAGATTAGACTTTGAGTTGATCATGATGCACCTATGTAACCGTGTAAAAATTTTGCATGCTAGCTAAAATAATTATTTGTATTATTACTATTTTGTTTTGTTTTTTAAATATTGTTATTTTTATTTCTAACATTCTAAGTAGAAGCATTATTGCGTAAATAGGGTAGGCATAAAAAGCTAGGCTTCAGCCTACACCTTTTGGGTATTCTACTTGCAATCCTTGTATTGTTGTGTTTTTCCTTTTCTTACCTTTAAAATAACCAAATAAACAATGTTGAATGATAAAATAATGTGGTGTTTTTAAGGGGAAAAAAGAGCAGCTCTGTGCCACTAACAAACTGGGAAAACCCCACGAACATTTCTTGACTACGTTTCAGAGGCGATTAAAATTGTCTTTTTTTTTTTTTGACAATTTATAGATTTTCATTGGTATGTGAAGAACATTTCAAGTAGCTTGGCAAGCCATCCTATTATTTGTAAATGTATGGTTTGGCCACGACCCATAGACGGAGCTCAGTCGTAGGGCGGAATCTATGGTTCTCATTCAAACGGTCTTTGAATGCTATTAGGCAGCTCTAGGACCAATCAGAGCAACAAACAACATGATGTATTCATCGTATGGAAATCAGTCAATGAGGCAGTCTGCCATTCACCATCAAAGATTAAGCAAATATATCCTATTTTAAAATAAAGGACATAATTACCTCTATCTGCTCCAAGAAAAGCTCAAGACTAAACTGTCCAAAGATGATGCCAGAGCCGTTTCAAACGAGCATTATTGCTGAGCCGACACCATCTTTGTTGTTTTTCTCCGTCACAGCTCTGGCGCAAAGCCGGCCCAGCGTCTTTCTACACACGGAGTGCTGTGATTGGTCCAACTTAAAATGTAGACCTGCTGAAGCTACAATGGAGCGTGGCTCAACTGACATGCAGAGCAACATTTTTTGTTACTGCTACAGTTTGTCTAGATCTAGGCTACTTTTCAAGCCATATGGCAAAGAATGCTCCAGAAAAACTTCGGAGTTTCTTCAAATATGTCTCTCAGAAATTAAAACCTGGCTAGCTTCCAATTTCCTGATATTCAATTACAATAAGGCCGAGGCCATTCTTTTTAAACCAAAACATAATCTGCATACTTCTGCTGCCTTTGATCTCTCCCCCCTCAACCTTCTGGCAATGCTGGCACTAAATACATATGGCATACCAGACATGGCCCAATAGTGGTTAAGTTGTATGTGGCCCGGATCTGTGTGCCAAATGTGGGCCAGTTAGGGCTGAACCTATGTTGCCCATTGCGTGCAATTCACCACCAAATAAATACTTCATTTTTTTTACTAATTTTAGAGATACCAGCATCCTATTCAAAATTCTATTAACTGTTTTTATAATTTGTTTGCAAATACATTTAGGATACATTATGACAAATTTTGTAACTGCAAAAAACTTGGTAACTCTTAAAAAGATCGACTGATGTGGGGGTGGTTGAGTTGGTAGAAATCACGTTGCAGTCAGGCGAGCCAAACCATTGTGCCTCTAGAGGGGGACTCCTAATATTTAAAGAACTCACACTGACAACGTTTGGCCTAACTCTCTAAATTCAGTTCTAATTGGTGTAAATGTATCTGTCCTAAATCGTCTGCAGAAAGTCCAGAATGCTGCAGCCAAATTTCTTTCCAATGCAAATAAACGCTGTCACATCACTCCCATTCTGGCTGATCTACACTGGATTCCTGTGCTATTTCGAATACAACACAAAGTTCTAACTTTTACCTAAAGCCCTGAATGGTCTAGCCCCCTACTTGTCAGAGATCCCCCCCCTCCCCCCAGGGTCACTAAGGTCTGCTGACCATCTACTGCTCAAAGTCTCTACAATGAAATATAGAGCTTGTGGGGAGCGTGCGTTCGCCTTTGCTGCTCCCAGACTCTGGAACGCACTCGCTCTGGTGGTACGCCAGGCTTCTTCACTGGCACAGTTTAAATCCAGCCTAAAGACCCATTTCTTTAATTTAGCTTTTGGTCAATGATCGGTCTTTTATGCTGTGCCTCTCATCTGTTTTTACTGACTTCTGTTTTTATCGACTTCTCTTGTTATTGGCTGTTTTAACTTTTTGTTTTGATTTTAGGTGTTTCTATTTTACGATAGTTTTAATCTGTGTTTAATGTGTATGTATGTGAATTTGAATGGCTTTTTAGGTTTAACTATGTGCAGTGCTTTGGTCAGCTGACATGCTGTTTTTAAATGCACTATATAAATAAAATTGGATTGGATTGGAAATATTGTTTAAAAGAATTTCCAATCCCTCGTGAGGGCAGGTTGTTTTAACTTTAAACATAAGGGTTTCATATTGTGTTTCCTTTCCAGAGTTTCACACTACGCTGTCAGAGCTGTGCACTGGTCACAAGCTCCAGCCATGTCCTGGGCAGTGGTGCGGGAAACGAGATCAACCGCTCTGAGTGCGTGATCCGCATGAACGACGCCCCCACCATAGGGTACGAGTCTGACGTGGGTAACCGGACCACCCTCAGAGTGGTGGCCCACGCCAGTGTCTTCAGGGTGGTCCGACGACCCAATGAATTCCTGCACCAAACAGACAACAACTCTACAATCATCTTCTGGGGACCCCCGAATAAGATTGGGAAGGATGCCAAGGGGACGCTGTACAGATTGATCCAGAGAGTCAGCATGACCTACAGCAACTTGTCTTTTTTTACCATCACCCCCAGCAAGATGAGAAAGTTTGACAATTTGTTTCAGAGAGAGACAGGACGAGACAGGTGCGTCTTAAATCCTTTCAACTGTTGCCGTCTTTGGTATTGCCGGTCACACTCTCTAAATCAGCTTATTTTTCACTGCACAGACAAAAATCTCACTCATGGCTGAGCACAGGCTGGTTCACCATGGTCATAGCCATCGAAGTATGTGATAACATTAAAGTATATGGAATGGTTCCACCTAATCACTGTGGGTAAGTATAGAAAGATTTATTGTCATATGGGACAGGAAGTAGAGTGGGAAGGTTGCAAGTTCGATCCCGGGTCTGACCAGAGAATTCTGCTGTTGTGCCCTTGGGCAAGACACTTAAAGCTGCTTTCCGGAGTTTTCCCCTTTCAGAAATGAGGTATGATTTTTCAGAAATCCGTAAAAGCGATTGTCTCATCATGTAATGTGATAAAATGTAAGCAATACGACTTTTTTTTTTTTTTGCTAAGCACGCCCCTGCCCTGCAGAGCTCCATGCAATAGGAAACTGAGCGCCGACCAGAACTAACCAATAGCGTTAAGACTACCGCTTATGTGCTTCAAATTTATGGAATACCTCGGCTGATGCAGAGTTGATGGACTTTTCATGGACAAGAAAGTCTCTAAAATATAAAATATATGAGAACACAACATGACATGAGAATGAATAACTTGTAAAACAGCATGTTTTAGTTGTTTGTTGGCCACAGAAGCACATTTATAAACAGAAACGTGAAGTCGCCATCTTAAACAAGCAAAGCAATAGACTTTTTGTGTGATATGCTTGTCAGCCACTAGATGGTGCCATCGGAAAAGAGAAATACTCCGGAAAGAAGCTTTAACCTGGTGGTGTTCGGAGGGACCGATGGCAACAGTGCTCAGCAGCCTCACCTTTTTCAGTGCACCCCAGGGCAGCTGTGGCTATAATGTAACTCATCATCACCAGCGTGTGAATGGGTGAATGACTGATTGTGTTGTAAAGTGCCTTGGGTGGTTCCAGGAATCTAGAAGCCAATACATCAAATACAGGCTATTTACCATTACCATTTAACATGTGTTCACATAATATCTGAAAAACACATTTTAATTTAATTAAAATGTTTTTTAGTAAAACACACAAAGTTGTTATTTTGAGATAGTTATCCATCATTTCTCCATTTAGGATGATCTTAGTGTAAAACTCTGGCATTAAAGGTGGGAGGTGATCTTATTAAAACTCAATAGTCCATTATTTTGAGTGAGAGTACGTTTTGGTCACAAAATCTTTCTTTTTCTAGAACAAAGCCTGGATCTAAGAAGGTGCCATACCACTACTACAAACCCAGAGGGCCAGATGAATGTTTGATGTACATACAGAACGAAGGCGGCCGGCGAGGAAACCACCATCGCTTTATTACGGAGAAACAAGTGTTTAGACGCTGGGCAAAGCAGTACAACATCTCCTTCACTCACCCAGAATGGTGAGACACCTCTCTAAAGCCTGATCGAGCTCTAGAGTCAGACTTCAGCGATAAACGGTGGCTGTGTCCAGAGGCTTACTACTGGACCGCTTGATGGAGGTGGTGTGTGGGTGAGTTGTGTTGCAGAAGGGTGCAGGTACTGTGGAGCACTGTGATGCTGACAAGTGTTTTTGTAAATAGAAGAGAAAATGAATGTAAAAGTTCTGATTACATGTCTAGATTTTTAATATGTATTAAAATATAGATGTTTTGTTGAATTATATCAGTACATACATGTTTGTGTGGCTTAAAAATTACACTTAAAAGTATTCATCATTACCTGCCTTTGATCAGAGATAATATGCTAATGCTATTGTGGCCTAAACCAGCAGATTAATCCAGCATACTGGGGCTTTATGGGAGATTATATCGCAGGAACAATGTGTTTGGGGGCAAAAGGAGGATTATTTTACAGTTCTTGAAAGTGTCTTAAAGAAATACTCAGTTATAATTCCAAATATGACCCAATAGAAATGAAAAACTGAGTTTTGTTTCAGTGCATGTTTAAGTTTTCCAGAGAAGGGCACTGATGTCATGCTATACTTGGATAATTTATTCATAGGCCTGTGCAAACTTTCAAAATGTTTATCTGAACCAGAACAATTTTTTTTAGCCTTGTAGAGGTCATTGATCTGCAGGGATGTTGAAGAAGCTCATTTTGGGAGAAGCTTTGATTTCTGTGATTTAATCGTTAACCTGAATTGTTCATTTTTGCCACATTTGTCTGCAACACGCAAGAAAGTAACCTGAACCGTGACAAGTTTCATACTACATCATCAGAATTAAACCTGTAAGATGAATGCAGATGAGAGCAAGAACATTTCACAAGATTGGATTTTATTCTGAAAAATAAACAACCTGAACAATATGATCTAAAACAAACACTTCAATAACAATCTTCCTTGTGTTTGCTGCACCTAATTCCAGCGAGGCCCACGGGACATGCAGATGGGGTCTGAGGAGACGAGACAATAATTTAAAGGGTAGATGCATGCTCAGCCGCTGGAATGGGATTACACTTTAATCTGTAACTTTTATAATCTCCGACTAGAAATATATTCCAGCTCCAGATGAACCGCTCCACCACTGCAGACATGTCTGAACTGTTTGCTCATAAAATGTTTCATTTCAAAAACCTTTTGTGTGCCTTCTTTCTTCCATTTACTCAAAGTAATTATGTGTGAAAAAGAGCAGAGGATGTAGATCTGTATTTACATGTGTACATTTAAAACGCTCCATAATTATTACAGAATACAAAAATATGCAGCATTTTCACTGAAACACCAGTTAGGAGTGTTAGCATGAACCACTGGACACATCTGGAAAGGTTGCTGTGATCTTTGGTCTCAGCGCGGCCATAGAAATAAGGATCGCTTCCTGTTGACGGTAAAGAGGAGTTAAACGGATGCTAAGAATGACTGACAGGATTCTAGAGGAAACGGTGCCGGTTTACCTCTGTTCGAATGGTCCTGCTGCCCTGACCCGGACACGTGTTTAGGTACAGGTCAAATAAAAGACTAGGATCAGTTGCATCCAGGTTCGGGTCAGAATCCACGCTGGCTTCCAAACCCCGAAGACCACCAAAAACCACCAAGAGATGCCTAAAAGGTAAGAATGAGAGGAAGCTTGGTTTGTTCTCTAGCAGAGGCATTCAGTCTTGGCTCTGGACGAGGGAAGTGAAACGGGCAAAGGTAAAAAAACGAGTTATTTTTTCCTTACAGGAGAAAGTGAACACATACGGAGACCAGAATTATTGCACATTGTGAAAACTGACTGTGATCCTGCATGTCGGATCATTTAAACAACTGCACATGAGAAAAGAGCAGCTTAGAATTACTGTGTGTGCCATGTTTTCATATGATCAGGTTTGCCAATAAAGCAGAAACGTGTTTAGCTCAAACTGTGTCCTGGGTCAGACTGGAGACTTCCTGCCAGCAGGACATGCCTGCAGCACCTTCCCTGGGAGGCGTCCAGGGAGCATTCTCACCAAATATCTGAGCCCTGCGTCTAGCCCAGACGCCTGACGGGGGAACTCGTTTCTCCAGCATGCATTCTTGAGCTGGCTCTTTCAGGCATTACCCAAAGCCTTTATTAGGGACGGGATGAAGATAGCCAAGTAAAGTGAGACCTTTGCTTTCAATTCAGTTTTCAATTTGCTTTAAAGTAAACATCCCATTAGTTTAGTTCATTAAGCCATCAGTAATCAGTAAAAAGTTTCCTACGTAAGAAACCCAGCAGGTTGCATCGAGTCACTGACTAGTGTCAGAGTCTTTACAGCAATCCTCATACTAAACAAGCATGTAGCGACAGTGGAGAGGAAAACTCCCTTTTAACAGGAAGAAACCTCCAGAGGATCCTGGCTCAGTATAAGCAGCCATCCACCACGACTCACTGGGGATCGAGAAGACAGAGCGCACGCACGCGCACAGACACACACACAGAGCTTTAGGTGCTACACATTAGGGTCAGTACAATCGGAGGATATTATCAGTTTGGTCTCATACGTGCAGCGTAGTGTTCACATGTAGTTCCAAAAGAGTTCTCAGGAACTCGGAAATCCTCGTGCACATGGGCGGCGTTTAAGATGCGCGGTAAAGTCCGTGGTGTCCTTATTAAGATAAACAATGGTGGGGGTGAGCTGTGTTGCTTTTGGAGGCTCTGAACCAGATTATTTTATTAATTTTACTCCCTGTTCTCTCACTGCCATGCGTGTCCTCACACACACTCACACACACATGCACGCTCGGCTCACTGCTCTCTCTTCCCATTGAGCAGCTGTGGCGAGAGCTCTGAGCAGAGATGTTGGCTGCTCAGAGGATGCACACACATGGCTCTTTTCCCTCTCCCACAGGGCAGGAGCTCCATGCCATAGAGATGTTTACTCAACAGCATCCAGCATAAAAATGAATCGTGTATATGGGAACCCCCCGCTGGCTGACTGCTAATCAGTCTGTAATGTCACCTCGGTCTCAGTGGGGACTCCCAGGAGGAGGTCGGGGGGGGGGGGGGGGGGGGGGGGGAGTCCCCTCCGAACGGAAAGCACATATCTGACCTAGGTGTGAAGACATTCCAGTCCTGTACCCGACCACACTGACCCTACTGTGTAAGCGCCATTAGCTCCCTCTTCACCACAACTGGCCAGTTTAGTATTCACAGATTGGGAGGTGCTCTTTACCCCAACGTATTAACAGGACAGCTAAATGACTAGATCAGCTCTGAACCTACTTGAACGGTGACAGCGTAGCTTGGTCCACGCTGGTGCCCCTCTCTGACGTACCAACAGTCAGATCATATCCTTCTTTATACGGACTTTCTGTGAAAACTGAACCTGCATTTATAAAAATAACAGGAAGCATCAGTTAAAAGGGAGAAAAAAACAACTTGATCTTGAACAAAAAGTAGATTGAGGGGTGGAGACTCTGGACAGAGAACAGGACACCTACTGAGACAGGACGCCAGGCGGACGGTGTAGCCCCAGTATAGACCACCTTCGGTTCTCGGCACGTGAGGAGCCACAACAACACCTTTGTGCAGTCTGCTTGCTGCGGGAATTCAGGGTTGACATTTATACACACACTTAACTCCTCAGTAAAACCACCAAGAGAGGGAGAACCTACCTTGGTTCCAGGTCTTATCGAGCTTCACTGTGACTCGTAGGCCAGGCTGCAACTGTTTATCAATCCGAACGTCCTGAAGAAGCAGATGAACTTTCAACTTTTACAAATACAGGAATCAAACAGTAGAGGTTCCTTAAGTGGAGTAATCTTCACCTTCCTCATTCCACAGCCAACTACGGATCCTTTTCCAGGTTTGGGCGGTTTGTCCAGGACTCGTCCTTCTCTGTAGTCGGACTCTTCATCTATCCTCATGTGGTGGGGGCTGTCCAGAGGGTTGAGCAAACCTGGACATGAAATATGTCTCCTTTAGTCCTGATGTATGTAAGAGTAACATGATACTCACATACTGCAGAAAAAAGGCGCTAAGGTAAAACGGAACCCTTGGGAACAAGCAGTGTTCCTGTATTCTGGAGGCGGGGCTTGTGTGTGTGTGTGTGTGTGTGTGTGTGGCTCATCTTCCCTCTGTTTTCTCCAAACTGTACTTATGCATTCAGTTTTGATAGTTTTAAGATGTAACAGCAAATGCATATACATTTATATGTAATAGATGTTTAAATTACCTGCATACTGCAAGTCTTTATGCACTGGGAAAAACCATTTGCGCAGATACCTCGAAGAGAAGAAAAGCTGTTATTTTCATGTGAAAAACACTTTACTGACACACATAATAGTAATCTGTGACTTACTGAGGACACTCCATGTACTGAAGTATTCTAGCAAGCTGAATACAAGCGTGGCCCTTCTTCCCAACACCACTAAATTCTCCTTCAACACTCCTGAAACAACAAGCAAGATGACTTGGTACTCTGATGGTCTGAGGGGAGTTTAACATCAAGTTGCATCATTAAAACAACTTACCGGACATCTTCCCCTTGCTCATCAAACACGATGATCTCATCAACACAGAACACAACACAAGCCCGAGCAATCTGCCCCGCCAGGTAAGTACGGAGCTCCGGGGACTGAGCGTTGTCCAGGACAGAGCCGGGCAGAGCTATACTCACTGTGTAAGACCGACCTTTAAAAAACAAAAGTTAGCTAAGCCACTTACGATATAGAAATCATAAAAATAGATGGTTACCGGCTTTGTTCTGGACTTCTTCATTCTTTGCTTTCTCTGCGGCCTCTCGCTGTTTCCGTTTTTCTAATCGTTTGATGAGTTTTTCCTTTTTCCACTGCTTCTGCGTCTCCTTCACTGTCATAACAGAATGACCATTGGCATAAGGAAATTAAAACAAATATATTTTCAATAAATTGAGTTACTATCTTTTATTATCGTGTTTGTTTAGTAATAACTGTGTGGGACCAAGCTTAGTTAAATGTAAATCCAGGTCTAGGTTGCACTCCAGGGGGTACAATAAGCAGATCTGCTAAAGTGTTTTACGTGTTTGTCGTTTTCAAGGATTCAATTATTTATTTAGTCACTTTCTGCAAATAAACTTGTGAAGCACATCAGAATACATTCCGATAGTTCTGCTAGTTTGATTAGATCTGAATATAGAAAACATGAGGCTGATGTTAGCTTTGATTTGGTAGTACTTAGGTTTTTTTTCCCCAATCACTGATCATCAAAAACCAGAACATGGTAGGAGCTGAACTCACATATTCTACACTAAAAACTTTAAAAACACAGTTTGTGGCTTGAAAACACTTCATTTTATTTATGAAAGTTACAACTTTATTGGTTAGAACTTGCATTTGGGCCACCTTCAACCAGTAAAGACTACTGTACCAGGGCTATAGTCCTAGAGTGACGCTGTCCTGCAGGTTTTAGCTGTTTTACTGCTCTAATACACCTTATTCCATGATTTACTCATGTCGGGAGCCTGTCACTCACTCACTGGTTTAAAGCGCGTGTGTTGGTGCAGAGAAATGTGCAGGTATTAGCACCTGACCTAGCCTGATCCACTACACCTGTAAACTTTAGTTTATGAAGCCTTAAAATTGGCGTGTAAAAATTCAAGAAAGAGATATTTTAGTACTCTTTAAAAAAGGTCTTGTGGTGGAGAATCCATTTACAAAACGTTTGATCAATTTTGACAGGAGCTAAATCTGACAGCCTAAACCTCATGTGTTGTTACAATATACAATTCAATTGCTAACACTTTTTACTTTTGCTATTACATTTACATTTCCAGAAGTTAATTTAAAACAAAAAACATGCTGTTTATTTAAAACCAGCATTGACATTGTTAGCATGGTTAGCTTCGACTCACATTCTGCTTTTCTTTTTTTCCAAAGAACCTTTTCTTCAGCCTAAAAAAACAATAATCCCATTAAAACACGCATGAATTAACATAAAATATCATTTAAAAACACTAATTACATGAGAAATTACAGGTTTTGGCTCTTTTGCTGCACCGTCAGCTGGCATTTTCCACACAAACGCACGGGGTTTAGCTACTTCCGTATCCGGGTCAACGTTAGCTTTTCAAAATAAAACATAAACTAGCGGAATGAATGAATGAAGACGTAAAAGGGCTTTGGGTTTTTATTTTAGGAGAAATCTTAGCATGGGAAAACAAGATAAAACATGCTTAGATTCTTTCATGCAAACACTGTATTAATGGATACTAATACATATGAACAACCTATTTATAAACAACTTTACTGACAGACAGGAAACCATTCAGCAATGAATGTGATCCAGATGAGACAAAAACCGAAGAGTTTATAAACATTTTATTGAACTTTAAGCATTTTTTGAGCTCAGACAAATATTACTTCATTTAAGTTTTTTGTAAAATTTGTGGAACAAACATATTGAATACATATATACTTTTCCTGAGGAGGCAAACAAATTTCAACAGATTTATAAAATCAAAATGGACGGAAAGTTTTACTCTCTTTGGTTCCACTTCTTCAAAATGTTCTCTGCTGCATCCAGAGTGGCGTTTTCCTGTTAGTATAAAAAGAGAGGCATGTACTTACTAAGACTTTAATCAGCAAAAGAGCTCATTTCTTTTTACCTTAACAAAGCAGAAGCGGATGTATTTGTCAAACTCCTTGCTGTGTTCTGGGCTGAAGAAAGCAGAGACCGGGATTGTCGCTAAACCCTGAAGGAAATAAAATGGTTACAACTGTTAAAAAACAAACAAACAAGAAAATCGTAAACTTTCACTTAATTAAACTTTACCTTCTCTTTAGTCAGCCATTTGACAAATCTAAAGTCATAAGACTCATATTTGGTGCTCTCATCATTGAGATCACACTCTGTTAAAAACAAAACAATAGTGACTCAATGAAAACTGATTTTGAATGCATTCATTTCAGATTTATGTTTGTCACTTACTGACAGAGGAGATGTCTGTGATCATAAAATATCCTCCCTCAGGCATGATGGGCTGCAGGCCAACACTCTGCAGGCATGAGGCCAGTTTCTGCCTCTTGTGGTGCAGCATCGCAGGCAGCTGGTGGAAGTAGCTCTCTGGAGTCCCAAACAGCTCAAACTCTGTCTCAAAGCCGCAGGCGACAGCCTCCTGAGGAGCAGCAAGACAGAAGTAGTGGGCTCGAGTGTCTCACTTGGCTCTAAGAACTTTATTCAGACAAACAAATGTTCTGCTCTCATTTAAATCTAATTAAAAACACTTTAATTAGAAAACAGAGCACAACTGTTATTAAAAGGGACATAATGTGAAATGTTTTCATAAATTACAATAGTTCAATGGATGATACAAAACATGTTGACAAAGTTCTTTGCACTAAATCCCTCTCACATATAGTAATTTCAGCAGTTTTATTCTTGACCGTTTCAGTACCTTCCAGAATAAGTCATGCCCACCCATCCTCCACTCAAACTGCTATAAGCTGAGAAGCTCCAATGTTTAGGAGGGGCTCAAAGTAGAGCCGCTGCTTCTCCAGCAGCAGCTGTTTTTTGCACAACAGGGCGTTCTGTTCTAATTGCCCCATTTATGACATCACAAATGGGGACTTTTTGAAACGGCTTGTTTTAAATACATAATTCCTACAACCAAACACTGACCAAAATTAGATGGATGGATGGTGATAATGTTTAGAGTGTTTATGGAGGCAGGACTGGCCCACATGGCAGCACAAAAATATGCAAAAGGAGAGTTTTGCAAATTAAGGTAAATTTTACTCAGATTTTTAACACATGTGCAGTGGTCTCTAGTAGGAATGAATGCCTTGTAATACATTCTCTGGTGAAAAAAAGCTCCGGTGCGCCTGACAGAGAAAACAGAAGTCAGCTGGAGGAGACGTAGCAACGGACGACAGGATTTGGAGTTTTATTTCCTGATATTTGAACATCTCGTCTCTGCTTAGCTAACAGCAACACATCTCTATCACTGATTCTGTTTGCTTTAAAATGTAGATGTTTTATTTCCACAAATAACACGAGCCTGAAGGAGCTCTGCTGTGTGGTGGAGTTGCTAATGCTAACGGTTAGCTTCTACTAGTCAAGAAGTTCTCTGCTGTTCCCTGCTTACATTTATCAGGATTTACCTTCTCAAACAAAAATAGTTTAATAAGAAACATCACTCCTTATCTATGTAGGGAATTGTAAGCAACACTGATTTTTTTGTATTTCTGAGGAACCGGACTTTAATATTGGAACTATCAGAAACTACGACAGAATCATAAATCAATGCTAAAGTTTTCTGGGTGATGTGTGCATCGGATTGTTTTACTACATTCATTTGAAGTTCAGAGGGTGTGTTAGCCGACACGTTTCATGCAGTGAGGCACTAAACCCTAAATAGTCACAATGGAGCTTTAAGTGAATGAAAGTCAAATACAGAAGCAATGGAGAGCTACTTTTTACCTGGGCGGCTGTTGCACAGTGATAAACGGAGTTCTGATGGACAACTTTCAAGTGTTTGATGATATTTCCAGAACTGATGGCCCAGCCAACCTGTAAATAACAACAATAAGCATGACTATAAACAACAGCTAATTAATGCAATAAGAATATGGGATTAACATCCTGCCTTTAATCAAGAGTGTATTTTGTCAACAGAGAGCAAGGAAGACATATTTGGACTCAAAAGAGACTTTTTGAGTGAGAACAGTGTTTTAAGAGAAAGCAGCACAAGATTTAAGCCTGACAATAATTAACGCTCTCAAATCGACAAAATACGCCCATTTGTGTTTTACCTTCCAACCAGTAGCACTAAAGGTTTTCCCAGCACTGCCGATTGTCACTGTGCGCTCCCACATCCCAGGAAGGCTGGCTGTCACACACACACACACACACACACACACACACACACACACACATGAACACACACACACGCACACACACTTTATGAATACCACTGCAGGTCTAGCGGGTGACGTTCTGCTGCTCTGATGCCTCACCGATCTTCACGTGTTTGGCTCCATCGTAGGTGAGCCACTCGTACACCTCGTCACTGAAGCACAGCAGGTCGTGTTTAACACAAAGATCAGCGATCATCTGGAGTTCCTCCAACTGGTAAACCTGAAACCGACACGTTTGTGTCCAAGCACTGACTTAAAAGTTTTATTTTGAATGCACCATAAACCTCACCTTGCCTAAAGGGTTGTTGGGAGTGTTAATGACGATGGCTTTTGTGCGGGGAGTGATTTTACTGGTCAGTTCCTCGGCAGACAGAACCCAGTCACCACTGGACAAGACGGCGCTGCCCTTTTTCTGCCAACAACAAGAAAAGTTTGATAAATCTCAACCGTGAGCCGGTCTAAACGGTTTTGGTTAAGGAACTCACAGGTCTCAGAGGAACATAGACGGCGTTCCCTCCAGCCATCAGCGCCATCGGCTGGTAGCAGTCAAAGAATGGCTCAATTATAATGACCTGGGAAGATGAATTATTATAAAAGTCACACGCTTCCTGAAAATCTACCTTTAATCTCACTTCCTTTATTAAAACTGATGTCACAGATGGATTCTGTACCTCGTCTCCGTCATCAATCAGAGCCTGAAAAGCACAGAACAGAGCCTGATAAGCTCCAACAGTCACCAAAATATCATCAAGGGGGTCGATCTCATGGCCCACAGTCCTGCTGAAGAATCGGGCTAGACTTTTTACCAGACGAGGATGACCCTGGGGGAGGGGGACAAAGAGAGACTTAAGCAATTAAAAGAACTGAAACATCCCAGAAACAAGGATTTATAAAATAACTGGCTTTCCACTTACAAAGGCTCGAGTGTACTGGTGCATGGAGGGTCCCCCATTAAGAGCCGCACAAAAAGCATCCTGAATGAACTGTGGAGGCGAGAAGTCAGGAAAGCCCTGGCCCAGATTCACTGCTTTGTAGTCTGCAGCTAGCTGGGTGAACTCAACCCTGTTGGCACAAAGCAGGTCAGACTGTGTATTTTTACACATGCTTTATACTTGAATGCTGATTATTCATTAATTAGTTTTGATAATAAAGGTAGTGCAGGACTAACACAGTGAACAGATTTATGAAAGCTTTAATGAGGAAAGCAGTTGTGGTCAAAAAAGATGCTTAGTTAATTAAACGGTGTCATGTTTACGTGTATTCCCCTTGACCTGAACCTTCAGTACTTGAATGTAATTAGTTAACCTTTAAAATTAAACCAGCTAAGCATTGATTCCATCACAATTAGAAAGAGATGAATGTTTTACAGTTTGGAAACCTCAACTAGCATTAGAGAGAAGCCAGAATAGACTTTAATAGATCTACTTCCAGGGTCACCCTGGTTTACCTGGTTACTGACGATGTGACATGAGACAGAGTTGACTGAATGATACATACCGTTGGGTCAGATTAAATTATTTGTTGTTATTATCATTACTGTTACGCCCCTCTATTCAACTGGCCTGGCTGTGTAAAGTCCTTGACTGCACTGGCTGCACCTGTGGGTGCAGGATAAAAGCCTGCTTGGCGCAGATTCAGGGAGATCACCTTGATAGCTCCTGCCTGTGTGGCATTTGGTGAAGCTGGATTTTAACTAAAATACTCTTTAACTCACACCAAGTGTCCAGATCCCCTCCTCACGTTGCAATCCCAAGAGCCGGGTCAGAACAATTACTGATGAGCTATGACCCAAAAGTGAAATAAAGAAGTGAAATATTCTGCAACTGTCAAATAAACCATCTGAGTTAAACCAGAAGGATTTTACAAACAAAACCTAAACTAAACTAAACTAAAGCCAGAATTAACTCATTTAAGGTTTATTTCATTTGTTCATTAACCCTATCTTCCCCAAAAACTACTAATGGTGGTGGTTGGAGGGACCGGAGGCGCCCGTGTTCGGCAGGCCTTGCCTCTGTCAGTGCGCCCCAGGGCAGCTGTGGCTACATCGTAGCTCATCATTACTAATGTGGGAATGGGTGAATGACTGATTGTGTTGTGAAGCACCTTGGGGAGTTGTAGAACCCTAAGAAGGCGCTACACAAATACAGGTCACTTACCATTACATATCCTTTTAAATTTTAAACATTTCTTGAAATCTAACTTTAAATAGGTTCAATCAACAGTTCAAAACCAAAAATAAAGCTACCGTCTACAACTACATTTCATCCAATGATTTTCTTTTGTTGTGTTACAACAATGGCAAATATTTCACAAGTGAACAATTAACCACCCACCCTAATCTAGTTTATGTATTTTAAGGACTTTGTTCCAACAGCGGTCCACCCCACAGATCCACCAATAAGAAGGTTTTTTGACTTATGATCACAAACTTAATTTGAGGGTTTAAGTCAGTGGTTTCATGTTTTAATGACATTCAAACGTCAGCATTTTTTTGGTTAGTGAAAAATAAACAAAAGATTAAATTAAAAAAGACAAAGGAGTACTTTTAGTGCAATAAACTTAGTTCATTTGAAATGATGACTTTTGTGTTAGACTCTTCTGATCACAGCAGTGGTTAAGGTTTTGTAAATACGTTCGTTAATGCGATCAGCATTTGTAAATAATATCAACTGGAAATCTCAGTCCTACTGCAAACAGGCTCTTACCAAACATTCTTATCAACTCCAACCGTTCTGTTGGCGTGAAGTTGTCTGGACATGATGATCTGAAATAAACACATCGTTTGTAGTGCATCAGAAATTCGTATCTAACCTTTACTCGCGTCCTAAAAGAACAGTATTACTCACCTTGTGATGGTTTCTTTGTGAATTGTTACGATTAACAGCCAAAGTAACAGCCAAATTCCTGATTATTCTCATAAATAAACGGTCATTATATTAGTTTAAAACTACACAGTTTAAACTATCGCCGCCACGTAGTTCTTCTATTTATATACCAGCAGAAGCGCTGCAAGACAAGCAAAGTTTCTGTAACTGCCCTTTAATCTGCTTGTTTTGATTTTTACTTCCGATGGGGGCGGAGCCAGATGTTTGACAAGTCTCGCGATAGGACATGCAATTATCGGCAGGCACGGAAAGACTTCTCGACAGAATCATTCCAGTTTACTTTGGTTCCTCGCAATTTCAAGCTTTGTTTTTACGCAAAAGATTTATGCTAATAAATACTTTATTCATTAGAATTTGTTTGAATAATCTAATTTTACATTACCATTTTAAAACGGGTAATTTTAAACTAATCTTGTGAATAAGAAAACAAACATCTGCCCATATAAACTCATTTAGAATAAAGCTCATTTATTTATACACTTTTGGTGTAACAGCAGGAAATAAGATCCTCAACTAGAATAAAGAAATTAAAAGGCTGTACAGTGAATACAAATTTGTAAAAAATACTCTTGATTTAAGGGAATTTGCCACATTCAAATATATATTTAAATATTAAATAAGAAACATATCTTAATATTGATTCATTTCAGTAAAAAATTTCTTTTATAACATTTGCATTATTCCCAACATATTCTTATATAACACCAAGTTATGTGTAGTACAAGAACGATGTCGCCACACAAAAATTTAGGACCAAAAATATCATTTTATTCATTACGACAGAATTAATTATATCTGGTGGACAATACTTGAATCATCAGAAACTTTCAAACTCATACAGCAACTTTTTTCAGATCCTCGGGCAACACCCTGCCTTTCTTCCTCGCCCTGTCTTTCTTCTTCTCTGTTCTGACTTGCTTACGCTTCTGGATGTTCTTCTTCCTCTTGTCCTGCCTTTGCTGCATCTTTTCTACGACGTGTTCGCTTCGCTGCTCCCACTGCTTCTTCCTCTGTGCGTGCCTCTTCTCCTTCTTCTTTAGCGAGGCCCGCAGCATGTCCTCGTTATCTTTGATTTTTACGCCCTCGGCCTTGTAGAGCAGGTTGGTCCATTTGATCTTCTTTTCCATCTCACAGGCCTTCTGCTCATCCTTCTCTCTCAGCTTCTCCAGCTTTTCTTTGCGTTCCTCCACGCGGCTGAGCAGCTGCTTGTAGTTCCTTCCTGTGAGTGGCGTCATATTACCTTTAACGCTATTTTTCTTCCTAAACTTTTTCTGCATTTTGGTTTCATATCCCTCTTGCACTGTCTCGATGTTGTTAAAGAGAATGGCAGTCTTGTTTCTTTTACTTGAGACAGCAGGGGTCTGTTCTTCCTTTTTAATCTCTGCTGGTGGTGCCGGGTCATTTTGTTCGGTGTGTTTCTTCATCAAAAACTCCTTCCTCTTCCTCTTCTTTCGCTCCCGCTCCAGCTTGCGCCTTGCTCTCTTTGCTTTGATTGCCTCTGACAACGAATCACTCGGGGTGACCTGATAAAACACACGTTTAGTTTAGTTCAGTTCACGTAGGTATGGAGAGCAAAAGGACTGATAAAGAACTTTTAACCATTGAATGCAAGAATTATGACAACCTGTCAAGATTTTTTCCCATAAGTGTCATAATTTATAGATACAAATGAAAATTAAACTAATGATAAAAAAAATCAATCAATAAATATTGAAATAAATATTGGACTAAGGTTTTAATAACAAAATACATGTCCATGGGAGTGTCCACTATGCACGAAAGGGTTAAAATAATTTTAAAAGTAAAATTTCCTGTTTTTAAATTATGTGCTCATTTTAAATGTGACACCAGTAAGAAATGCGTAACTGAACATTAAAAGAGCAAGTCATCCCCAAATCTACTTTTTCTGCTGATAAACTATATAAATGAGTCTAATCGTGCTGTTGACATATGCCATCAATAATTTGGCTTTTTTGTGCATCTTAGTGAAAATGTAATTATTCTGCCTGTGTTGCGCCCTCTTCAGGTAAAAACTCTGCACTACATTTGAATTTAAATCTGCCATTGCTATTGGCTAAGAGGTACACTATGACCTTAGCTGGTACCATATGATTTGGGCTGCAGCTTTAGAATACTTTAGTATTCGAATATTCTATCGAATCCTCCATCGATTAATTGAAGATTCTATTCGACGACGTGAAAAGAGACTGTGGTGTGCTGCTAAAAATATGAAAATAAAACTATAAAAGGATCAACAATATGTAATAAATTGGTGTTGTCTAGTTGCCTCTTTCCCCGCTGATATTTATAGTTAATAAACATTTCATTGTTACTAGTAGAAATTAAGTGTTAACATACTTTCCAGTAGCTTACTACTGAACATGTTAATCCAGTCTGCATTGTATTCAAATATAGAAGCGTTTGGAAATTACATGCTACAACGGCTTGCCATGGCTCTGCTGCAGTGTGTGGAGCTGACTCGAGCTGCTGAATCTCAGTAGCAACAACCTGACTCCAGGTAGCATCCTCACATAAAAGGGATGGTGGGCATTTTTCTTCCGCTTGTAGAGTTACGTCGTTCACAACCATCACCATCCTATATATGTGAATGTATAATCTGGCCTGACTAATACACAGAACTCAGTCATAGGGTAGAATCAACAGTTGTCTTTCAAACTGTCTCTGAATGCAATTGGACAGCGCTTGGACCAATCAGAGCAACGAACAATACGACATGTCCGTCGCTACGGCATTCAGTCAATGGGAAAGTCCATCATACATCCTTTTATCTGCTCATGTCTCAAAGAAAAGCCCAAAGTTGACGCCAAAGCCATTTCAAGCGAGCGCTGTTCTCTGTCTGAGTCGACAACATCTTTGTAGTTTTTCTTTGTCGCAGCGCTGGTACTAAGCCCACCCAACATCTCTCTACAAGCATGGATTGCTGTGATTGGCCAGACCTAAAATTGTTCAGGCCAATTGTAGACCTGCTGAGGCTACAATGGATCATGGCTAGATCAACATGCAGAGCAAAAAGTTTTGCTAGTTATACTGTTTGTCTACATTTGAAACTCAGGTTTGAAGAATCTAACTCTTGTAGTTTTATTATTGGAGCAGATTAAAAATGTGCATGGGAGTGGAAAAATGTTAGCCTAGTGAACTAGACCAAATTCTTGCTTTGCAAAGAATGAATACTTAATACATAATAATATAATAAGAATAAATAATACATTTATTTAGTCTGGCTTGCCAGGCTAGAAAAATGTTGGAATTGCCCTTTCTGAACTGAAAACCAAAAATGGGAACCAACATAGCTTCCTGTTTTTACATCCTTATGTATTAAATATGTGCTGCAAAGAATAGCTCCCAAGTAAAACTTTATATGTGAATGTAAAAAAAATATATATAAAAAGACTAATTAAAAATGAAGAAGTCACTAATAAAGTACAGCCCAACATTTCAGTACATTTATGTTTTAGTCATGTTTTGATTTTTAAAGGAACATACCTGCCCTCTGGACTCCTCAATCTTTTCATGCAACCTTTTCCGTAACACGTTCACTGTGGAGAACGATGAATCTAAAAAAATACAATAAAATGAAACCAAGTGATGTGAAGGAACTGCCACATTAAAGCTTCCTTCCGGAGCATTTCTCTTATCAAATGGCACCATCTAGTGGCTGACAAGCGTACCACACAAAAACGCTGTTCCTCAGTTTTTTTTTAAGATGGCGACTTCACGTTTGTTATATAAATGTGCTTCTGTAGCCGACAAACGGAGCTGAAACACGTTGTTTTACGAATATTATTCTCATGTCATGTTGTATTTTCATATATTTATATTTTAGAGACGTTCTTGTCCGTGAAAAGTTTATCAGCTCTGCATCAGCCGAGGTATTCCTTAAATTTGAAGTGTCTAAGCGGCATTCTAACACTATTAGTTAGTTCTGGTCGCGCTCAGTTTCCTATTGCACGGAGCTCTGTCGGACAGGGGGCGTGCTTAACAAAAAAATTAATTAATTAATTAAAAAGACGTATTGCTTACATTATATCACAGTACATAAGATGATCACTTTTACGATTTTCTGACAAATCATACGTAATTTCTGAAAGAGGAAAACTCCGGAAAGCTGCTTTAACTAAGCCGACACCCTCATGAATCTGCAGTGTGTTTTTCACCTTTAGATGGTTGTGTTGTAGTGACAGTGGTGCTCTGAGTTTGTGATTTTGCTGCTGCAAGGCTTTTCTGAGCTCCTGGAGAAGACTTTTGTTGGTGTTTGGGAGGATTCTTGGCTAATGCATCTGTAGAATTATTCTTTAATTTCTTCTTCTTCTTCTTTGAAGGATCGGTGTCACTCTTACTCTTGAAATGAACTAATGAAAAGAAACATGAGATAACAATTCCATGCTCAGATATGGTATAACAAGCTGATTCCAAAGACACGATGGAGCAAAGCCAGGTCAGATGAGATTCTGACCGTCACGTTTTATAAAAATAAAAATGATACCAAAAATAATCAAGTCTATTTGCTTTCTTTCATCTGGAGGGCAAGCAAAAAAAATTCTAACAGAAACAAAAATGTCTTGTGCAAAGAATAAGTTCAGATAAAATAGGCTAACTAATCTTTGCATCCATATATATATATATATATATATATATATATATATATATATATATATATATAATCTACTAAAAGAAAGAAAAACATTAGCATAAAAACATTTTCCAAAATATGGCTCTATAAATAATTCCAGTATGTTGTGTGTGGGAAAAAGCAAACATCTACAGCACGCAGAAAATAATGTAGCGCCCCCTTCCGGTGAGCTGTGTTTTAACAGCTGAGGTTTGAAGACATTTCATGTTTTTTCCCACCTATCATCAGCCATACAAATATGTAGCGCGCTTTGATATTTAACACAGAAACGTGTACAGCTAAGTGTAAATATGCCAATAGCAGTTCAATATTACCAAACGGTCTCTTCTTCGGCTCCTTCTCTCGCTGAGAAAATAGTTTACTTGCATATTTCTGAATGTACGAGTCTTTCGCTGCGAGGTCCATGTTCTCAGACTAATTACTTTCCGCAACTAAATCTGTTAAATTTACAATTAAATAATTTAGAGCTAAAAATCAGCTCATGGCTGCAAACACGTGCATAAGAAAACAAACGAGAGGAGGACTGTCTCCGATGCACCGGAAGGTGTTACATTGAAACAGTCCCCCCGCAAGCCAAAACGACGGTTTTGTAAATAATTTATTTAGTCTCCCTTTTACGGTTTTTGTTTATTCAGGATGACTTCGCTCAAATTCCTGCTCACGTTTTCCACCAGGCTTTTCCCGACAACTAGGAAACAGGTTGGTTATAAGTTATAACTAATAAATTCAGTGTATTCGTCTTAACAGTCACCTAAAAAAGATTATATGCAAAAAAAAAATTATTTTCGTTTCACGTGATTTCAGAATGTTATAAACATCAAGAGGACTTTCTTCTTGGACAGATTCATTAAACGTTCAGACGGTAGGTACAGTTGTTATATTAATACCGATGATCACCTGCTTTTAACTACCGGTAAATGTATTTTTATATTCATATTTAAGAAGTTAAACATGCATAAATACTGACCCACTCACCTGGATATTTTTAAGAAAATGAAAGTTGAAGAATTTGTTCCAAAAGGATATCTAAAATTTAATGTAGATTTTAAATATATAAGTACAGCACCTATAATATATAAGATACATAATATGTTAATGCTGTTACAATTTATTTTTCAGTATTACATGAAAGTGTGAAAAGTGCATCTATGAAGAATCAACCTGCAGTTTCTTATTTCCAGGCAGGTGCTTGGACTTCCAGCGGCTGTGCAGCTCTGCAGCAGCCAAGGCCGTGAAAAGCGAAGACTCTTTCCTCAAATGGTTCCTGCTGCTCATCCCCGTCACCACCTTTGGCCTCGGGACATGGCAGGTATGGCTTGTCTTCCATTATTCTGTTCTGAAATGATTTGTTTGATTTCCATTTTATTGACTGAAACAATATTGTTACTATGAAGGTTAAAAGACGGGAGTGGAAGTTAGGATTAATCAATGAGCTCCATAGACTGACCACAGCAGAGCCAATTCCTCTTCCTCCAGAGTGAGTAAACTCTTGTCTCTCTGACACGAATCATCATGAGCAGCTATTACCGCAGGTCGAATATAACATGGGGACAGCTGTGGAAAAAAAAAACAATTTAAACAAATTCAGAACAAAGTCTCAAACCCCCTAGTCTGCAGACAGATGGCTGCTCATTCTGACCCAGGTTCTGCTAGAGGTTTCTTCCTGCTAAAGGGAGTTTTCCTCTCCACTGTCGCTACATGCTTGTTTAGTATGAGGATTGCTGTAAAGTCTCTGACTCAGCAAGTCAGTGACTTTATGCAATCTGCTGGGTTGAACTGAACTCAGTACACTGATATAAGTGGTTCAGTTGGGATGTTTCGTCTCGTCTTCTTCCACCTATCCGGGTCCGGGTCATGGGGGCAGCATCCCGACTAGGGAGTTCCAGACCATCCTCTCCTGGGCCACCTCCACCAGCTCCTCCGGTAGGACCCCAAGGCATTCCTGGGCCAATTTGCAGATGTACTTTCTCCTACATGTTTTGGGTCGACCAGTGGGCCTCCTACCGGCAGGACATGCCTGAAAAACCTCCCCGGGGAGGTGTCCAGAAGGCATCCTGTCTAGATGCCCAAACCTCCTCAACTGACTCCTCTCAATATGGAGGAGCAGCGGCTCTAGTCCGAGTCTCTCCCGAATGTCCGAACTCCTCACCCTACCCGTAAGGCTGAGCCCAGCCACCCCGAGGAGAAAACTAATTTTGGCCACTTGTATCCACGATCTTGTTCTTTTGGTCATTACCCAGACATCATATGACCATAGGCGAGGACAGGGCAGTAGATCAAATGGAAAATTAAATGTGATTATAACTGATAAAACAACAATAATAGCAACAATAAAGTACTACTAACAGACCGGTTAAGCGTCTGCATCACTGCAGAAGCTGCCCCAATCCGCCTGTCGGTCTCCCGCTTCCTCCTTCCCTCACTTGTGAACAAGACCCCGAGATACTTGAACTCCTCCACTTGAGGCAGGACCTCTCTCCCGACCCAGAGTTGGCAAACCGCTCTTTTCCGCTCGAGAACCATGGTCTCAGAATTGGAGGTGCTGATCCTCATTCCAGCCGCTTCACACTTGGCTGCGAACTTCCCCACCAAGAGCTGTAGGTCAGAACCTGATGAAACTAGGAGGACCACATCATCCGCATAAAGCAGAGAGGAGATTCTCCTGCCACCAAACTCCACACACTCCACACCACGGCTGCACCTAGAAATCCTGTCCATAAACGTTATGAACAGGACCGGTGACAAAGGGCAGCCCTGGTGGAGTCCAACCCTCACTGGGAACAGGTTTGACTTACTGCCTCACTCCTCTGGTACAGGGACTGAATGGCCCTTAGCAAAAGACCATCCACCCCATACTCCTGGAGTGCCCTCCACAGGGTGTCTCTGGGGACACGGTCATAAGCCTTCTTCAAGTCCACAAAACACATGTGGATTGGTTGGGCAAACTCCCATGACCCCTCAATCACCCTAGCAAGGGTAAAGAGGTGGTCCACAGTTCCATGGACAGGACAAAAACCACATTGCTCCTCCTCCTCTGAGGTTCAACTATCAACCGGACCCTCCTCTCCAGCACCCTGGAGTAGACCTTTCCCGGGAGGCTGAAGAGTGTAATCCCCCTATAGTTGGAACACACCCCCAGGTTCCCCTCGCCTCTGTCAGTCCGCCCCAGGGCAGCTGTGGCTACATCGTAGCCCATCACCATCAGTGTGTGAATGTGTGTGTGAATGGATGAATGATGCACTGTAGCGTAAAGCGCGTTGGAGTCCTTAGAAGCGCTATACAAGTGCGGGTCATTTATCATTGAAAAATTGGGACCACCACCCCGGTCTGCCACTCCACAGGAACTGCCCCTGATGACCACGCAGTGTTGCAGAGACGTGTCAACCAAGACAGTCCTACAACATCCAAAGCTTGGAGATACCCAGGTCCGATCTCATCCACCCCAGGGGCTCCTCCGCTGCGTAGTTGTTTGACTACCTCAGCAATTTCTGCCCCAGAGATTGGACAGTCCATCCCCAGGTCTACCAGCTCTGGTTCCTCCTCGGTATGCGTGTCAGTGGGATTGAGGAGCTCCTCAAAGTATCCCTTCCACCGCTTGACTATGGCCCCAGTTGACATCAATAGCTCCTCATCCCCACTGGAAACAGTGTGAGCAAGTTGCTGCCTTCCTTGGTCTGACGGAAAACCCTTGTGTCAGACATTAGTTGCTGCTGAAAAATACTGTCAAGAGTTCATGGACCTCACCTTATTGATGTACAGATTTGCTTGTCCCTTTCCTCCCTGGACACTAGTCCTCTTGAGGTGAATGAGCTGGAGTACAGAAGGGTAAAAGTACGTGGACATTACGACCACTCCAAGGAGCTATATGTCATGCCCCGCTCGCCCGTTAATCCGGAGAAGGAAGCCAGAGAGGCTGGAAGTCTGTCCTCGAGTGGAGAGATCGGCGCTAATGTCATCACCCCGTTACACTGCACCGACCTTGGGTAAGTACGCACGACGGTGTTCCTAACATCACAGCTGATAGTTTAAGAACTAACCTGCAGCTGCTCGTTTCTCTGCAGCACCACAATCCTGGTGAACAGAGGATATGTTCCAAAGCAGAAAGTCAGACCAGAAACGAGGATGAAGGGGCAGGTTTGTTTTTTAGTATTCCAAGACATTTATTTTAGACAAGATTTGACTGATTTAGTTATCTTTACCCTATATTCACTGTAATTTAAAGGCACGCGTCTGAAACCTAATCTGTTTAAATCTTCTTTTGGCTGAAAGTGTCACTGTTAGCCTTCATTAATCTGGTTTTTAGTTTTATACAAATTCAATTTAGCAAAAATTAATCCATCATTTGACATTTTTAATCCTTTAACGCCAGCTGTGCTGCTTTCGTGCAGGTGGAGGATGAGGTGGATGTGGTGGGAGTCGTTAGGCTGACTGAGAGTCGGAAACCATTTGTACCAAACAATGATGTGAACAGAAACCGCTGGCATTACCGTGACCTGGAGGCCATGGCCAGCGTCACAGGAGCAGCACCGATTTTCATTGACGCAGACTTCGGTAAGATCTCCCATCACAATCCAAACAAAAGTTTCAGCTGGCTTCAAAACTAGTATTTCCATTGTTACAAAACTCATAATTTGAGATGTTCTGTATTGCGCAGAGAGCACAATCCCTGGAGGGCCAGTTGGTGGACAGACCAGAGTCACTCTGAGGAACGAACACATGCAGTATATAATAACATGGTGTGTTCAGTGAACCTTTATCTTTTTTAAAACCAGGAAACAGATTTATAAATATTCCTTCTCCTTTTGCAGGTATGGCCTGTGTGCAGCTACGTCCTACATGTGGTGGGCCAAGTTCATCAAAAAGATTAAAATGTAATTCAGATTGCAACAGAAATGTTTCCTACTGTATACCAATATCAGCTTGCTCAGTACTTTTATTTATCCAACAAGAAATAAAATCTTTGGTTGTGGGAATTTTATTTGAAGCTATAAGTGGCTAAGAGTTGCACCTGTTTTATAAAGAGCCAAATAAACGTAAACCAAGCTGGCTGGTAAAAAAACTTTCATTAGAAATTTAATTACAGTGAAGCTCCAGCTGTTCACACATTTATACAAGTACAGAACTAATGCAGGTTTAACTTGGATTAGTTGAGATCAGTTAGATTATATCAGACCCATGAAAACCATCTGACCTTTTAACTAAAGGATCCACAAAGTTTCTTCTCACCTTGCCTTTACGGTACAAAGAAATTCTGCTAAAATTGATAAGAATAAGTAAATTTAATCAAACTAACCTTTACACATTTGAGATGATTCTTTAACTTAACAGTTTGTACAACACTAACTTTAAATGATAGACAAACTCAGTAATTTTAGGACATAGATTTTTTATTCCAAACATTTTAACCAAGCTTGGTTGCCAGCTCCTTGGCCTTTGCTTTCTCCAACTTAGTGAAGCGGGCTGTGGATTTGGGGCCCAGGATGCCACCTCCCCAGTGACGACGGATCTGAAAAACAGGTTTAGGTTGTTTGGAAAGTTTGTTTTGAGACAAATTTGTAAAATATAAATACTAACATGATTAACTCTCACCTCTTCATATCTGTCATTGTAGTTGGTCTTGATAGCTTCCACAAGCTTAGCAAGTGCACCTTTATCCTCACTGGGAAGGAAACCAAAAACTATTTCAAGAATAATCACTACATCATTAGCAAAAAAATACAACAAATTTACAATACAGTTAATATATTTGAGCCCTCAAGCGACAGTATAAACGAAATTAATGAGTGTTCAGTTGAAACATTAAAACTTAACATTTTTCAAATGTATGGGAGAAAAATTTAACTCACAAATAAAAAAACAGAAGACTTACGGGTTAATCTGTGTGAAGGCTACTGAAGTGCACGTTTTCCTGTGCACCAGTCTGCCCAGTCTAGCCTTGCCCTTTACAATACAGTATGGGACGCCCATCTTACGGCACAGAGCAGGAAGGAACACAACCAGCTAAAAGATAAACAGCAAATAGAGTTAGTGAAAATTTACTGAAAATGACATCAACCACAAATGATGAGCTAATTTAATCTGCGGTCTCTGCTCAGGGTTAAAAAGCTCGTATGTTTTAATCCACATAGAGAATTCAGGTGAAGAAATTCAGACATCATTGCCAGCGACCACATTTCACAAATTAAATGTTATTTATTTTATACAAAGAGCTCAACATGAATCAAAACGTCTAAACTAGTCTCACCTCAATTGGATCTACATCGTGGGCGATGATCACCAGCTGGGCCTTCTTGCTCTCCACCAGGGAGGTAACAGTGTTCACACCTGTAGCAACCACCAACAGAAATTAACAGCTGATCTGGCAACACACAAGTCATACCACAACAACATAATATTGTGGCCAATGCTCAGGGTTAAAAAGCTCAAAAACCATCAAGGGAAGAATCAGGTGAAGAAATTCAAGTCATCACTGCACTCTGGCCAAGTTGGATTGGCTAAACACAATCCAACGAGAAACTTGGAAAATGTTTATTTTACGATTTTCCTGAAACCATTTGTTACACCTCACCTGCACGGAGGACAGGAGGCCTCTTAGTAGGGGTGTCTCCTTTTCCAGCTGCCTTCTGTTCGGCACGGGCCAGCAGCCGCTTTTTCTTCTCCTGCTTGGTCTCTGGCCGGTACTTGTGAGCCAACTTAAACAGCTGAGTGGCTGAGATGGAAACATGCATGATAAAGTTAAAACTCCAAACACAAAGCAACAAAAATTACTAGTACTTCAAGCAAATGCATCAGCGATCTTGATTTTGAACTTGTCATCACAACTAACCAGATGGAAATATTTCACATCACTTGCAAAGTGGCATTTGGTGGTTTAACACCCACACTTTTTATTTCAATGTAATAGGACCAAACCCTGCTCCAAGCTCACCAGTCTGGCGGTCCAGAGCCTGGGTGAACTGGTTGATTGCAGGAGGAACCTTCAAACGCTTGTAGAGGATGGAGCGCTGCCTCTGCAGGCGAACGTAACGAGGCCATTTCACGAAGCGCGTCAGATCACGCTTGGGCTGAATATCCTGGCCTGTGAAAAGAAAGACAAATGTTTTAAGTTTGTCAAAATGAACAGCTTCATGCCTTTGTCTAACGTTGTGCATCAGCGATCTTGGTGGAAGATTGTCTGCAGTGTTCTTAAGATAGCAAATATTCGTTTACATCATCTGCACAGCAAACTGTTAAAGGTCCTAAAACATGAATAATTCTTACCGATGCCATAGTTCTTTGGCCTCTTCTCGAACAAGGGGTTGACGACTTTCTTGGCCTCGTGTTTTTTGGCCACTGAAGGGGCAGGAGCCACCTTCTTCCCCTTAGCCTTCTTTCCCTTGGGCTGACCAAAAAAAAAAAAAAAAAGTAAAAACGTTAGAGACTAAACAAAGCTCAGGTTTCATTAACAATTTAGAGGCCAACACTCCAAAGTCTTAATGAACTAAAATGTCATATTTAATGGACAAATCTATTAATTTAATGAAGCTAGTTAATTTATAATTATAATTAAACAGTGTACAGTGTTTAAGTTTCACTGTAAACTGCATGACTTCCTTTACATCACATTGAACAGGAGTGGAGCTCAAACGCACACAAGTTACAATAAAGGACAATGCAATTAATTACAAATGTGGCTAACGTGAACTACTGTATGCTAAATGTAAGCGAAGTCAATGCTAAAGGCCCATTCTGCGAACCTAAACACCGCCATTAAAACACGCGTATTGCATAAGCCGGTCTAAGAATTGTAAAACTAGTGACACTGGGGATTTTATGTAAGAATCAATCAGTAAAATGGAGCAAAATAACAGAAAACACTTTGAAACTAACGTGGTCGTGACTGTTAGCTTGCAACAAGCAGCTATAGCATTGATGGTACCGGCTACACTAAAAATCTAATTTCTATCATGAACACCACCGCATCAAGACCAAATATCGACTTAAAACAGAAACATTGTTTTAGGAGAATTCAAAATAACATTCTACAACGTGATAATAAGAACACAAAGCAAGGATGAAAGCAGATTCAACACCTTGGATATTTTCTCAAAAGGCTGAAATATGTACCCACCATGTCGGTTCAGGCAGAAAGGAAGACCGGAGGATCATGGGTAGGGTAAATACCGCGAGACTTGCAACGCGACGATGTGCTCATTAGTAGTGTGCTGATCTTGGGTCAGATTTTCAGCTTCTCATTTGCTACAAGACAACAGTTTGAGTTATGTATACACAGACTCGGGGTCTGTTAGAACTGTAGAACGCCTTCGTAAAATTTATCAGCGACCAGTTTGACATTCTGCATTATTTTTTAGTTATTTTTAAAAGTTTATTCAAAATGTCTTTTTCTGTATGACTATTTACTATTGAAATGTTTTGTAAATTATTTTTAAACAAAGCTAACGATAAAATTACATTGATAAATACAAGTTTTGACCATCGACATTAATATAGGTTTTGACACATTTAAAAAAAAATGTATTCCCATTATTTTTTACAAAACGTGTATTTTTTTCCAACTTCCCCTAACAGAGTGGGCGGGGCTTTCCGACTGACGTACACTCCTCGTGCTTTGCGTCGTGCCGTTCCGAACCGTGCTCGTTCTTCGCTGCTTGAGAAGAGGGTTGGGGGGGCTGTTTTCAGGATGTTGGGTCGGTGCATGACGTTGCTCAGTTCTCATTTTTGCTAGCATACTATCATGTTTTTTTACGCTAACGTGAGCTAACGTTAGCCGTGACCGTTATGAGTCTCGGCGCTGCGTGTCTCCTGTGCGACTTGTTCATAGCAGCTGTCACCGGTACACACCGGAGGTTTTCCTCTCCTTTCGTAGGTAAACACCGGGCCTGTCTCCGTAGCTGAGCTGGGAGACACTTCTAAAATATAGTAACGTAGAATTGTTACAAAAATGTCAGAGCTGACAGTCCAGCGTTGGGTTTAGTGGTGGGATGACGAAGCTAGCCAGACTGATTCCTAACACAATCATGTCTCATTAGCAGAAATAGTGAGAAGCAAACATGGCAGAACAAGACGTTTGTCCCCACATGGACTCCATAGGCGAGGTGACAAAAGAGGATCTGATCCAGAAATCTAAGGTGAGTTTTATTATTTAATGTTTGAAGTGCTATTGTGTGTGTGCGCGTGTATTTGTAATTGTGTGTGTGTGTGTGTGTGTGTGTGACAAACAGTGACTTTCCGTGTTTTCATGTAATACAGGGAACTTGTCAGTCATGTGGAGCTGGGGGCCCAAACTTGTGGGCTTGTTTGCAGGTAGGGTAAGATTCTGCACCTAAACGCCTGCATTTAAATCCTCTGTAGTTGTTTTAAACTCAGTCTGGCTTCTCCGTTTTTCATAAAAGAGAGCCCTTGCAGCAGCAGGAGCTGCACTTATACATCATCTGAGATCAGGAGGTGTTTGTGTAATAATAAATGATAGAGCGAGGCCTAAACACAAATGCTGCTTTTTTCTAACAAAAACATTAAAAAACATTTTTTTGTGAGTTTGTCTTTGAAAGATGAGAAGAATGTTACATAATTTTGTTTCTGTTCTATAGAGTGACTGTCCTTATGTTGGTTGTGGGGAGTCCTATGCTGATCATAGCACCCTGCATGCACAGGTAACACTCGCACACAACCAAACATTAAATGGCTCACATCTTCAGCTGTGAGAGCATGAGCTCATTTATATCAAGTTATTTTTGTTTGTGTGTGTTTTGTAGACCAAGAAGCACAACCTGACCGTGAACCTGACAACCTTCAGGATCTGGTGTTATGTGTGCGAGCGGGAGGTGTTTTTAGATCAGAAACCAGCTCTGGTTCCTGTTCCGGCCGCTCCTCATCACTGCAAAGCCACAGAGCAGGTGGGTTATCTCAGGTTTCCTGATTATTTTTTGTTCCTGTCTGATCGACAACAAAAAGCAGCATAGAGCTTATATAATGTGTTAATTGTTTTCCCAGGAGGCAGTTCCTCTGGCAGCAAGTCACCCACTGAAAGCAGTACCAATCGCTGTGGCGGAAGAAGGGTCAGAATCAGAGGAGGATGAGCTTAAACCCAGAGGTACAGAATAATAAAAGGAGTTTGCAAGGATGACCGAGTGGAGCCCAATTTCCTAAATATCCATTAAAAGCGATAGACTTCAAGACTGATTTGTCAGGTCGCCGCTTCCTTTAACTTAATCAAAAACACTGCCATCCCCTCTCAAAAATAAAATAAAACGAGAGCCAAAGACATCTAGTTGCAGACACGGAGCAGCTTAAAGAACGCCTCGCGACAAAAGTCCAACGATATTAATGTTAATACAACCGTGGCAGAACAAGAACGCAGCAGACTTTTAATTTGTGTCAGGAAATTACAGGAAGTTTGAGTTTAGAGGTGGCGACCACATGAAGAGGTGGAGGACAATGAGGGGCAAATTCTTCAGAGTAAAAATGTCTCTGAAATACAGAAACGCAATGTAAACACACAATAGTAAACACGCTAGAGATGTGACTGCAACGATGGCGGGATACCACAGGAAAGTGCTACACCCTCTGCTGTCTTGGCAGAGAATTGTTTCACAACACTGACACCAACGGAGACGTGTGGAAGAAAAACATCTCCGTCAGTGTGTGCGGGCACCAATGTGTCGACGGAAAAGTGGAAACCAGCCTTTAGAGTTTTACTTACAAGCCCCTAATTTAACGCAGTAGTTGAATCTTCTGATTTCTGCATCTTAATGTATGAAGAAGTCATCCCAGACCTTTGTGGGTCTTGTTTTTGTTGCTTTTAGGTTTGACAGGCATGAAAAACATTGGGAATTCCTGCTACATGAATGCTGCTCTTCAGGCCCTGTCCAACTGGTGAGTTCACCCTCTCCCTCTGTCAGTGGGGATGTGTCAGCTCCTCTTGTGTTTGTCCCTAAAGCAGCTGTATTGATGCGGTTTGTCGTTCTCTCTCCACCAGTCCTCCTCTCACTCAGTTTTTCCTGGACTGTAGCGGGTTGGTCCGGACCGATAAGAAGCCGGCTCTGTGTAAAAGCTACCAGAAACTGATCTCAGAACTCTGGCATAAGAAACGGTATCAAACACTCACCTGAGGCTATTCAGTTTTACATATATAAGATGATTTATTAATATATATTATATATTTATTTCAAACTCTCCTCTGACTTCTCCCTCAGGCCCAGTTATGTTGTTCCCACCAGCCTGTCTCATGGCATCAAATTAGTAAACCCCATGTTTCGAGGTTATGCCCAGCAGGTAAGCGCTCAGTACGTACCTGCTAACCACCTGACAGTGGAAATGTAAATGTTTCAATTAGATTTGTTTCATTTTTACAGCAGAAACGTCCCTGATCCTCTTTTTGGTCATATTTTTAAATGAAATAATCTCGTGTTGCTCTAGGACACTCAGGAGTTCCTACGCTGTCTGATGGACCAGTTACACGAGGAGCTGAAAGAGCCGCTGACTGAGTGCAGCCTGAGTGTCGAGGGAAGCGACGGGGAGGAGAGGAGAGACGGGGACCGCTCTCCATCCGAAGATGAATTTCTGTCCTGTGACTCCGGCTCCAGCAGTGACCGGGGGGAGAGTGGAGGGCTGGGCGACGGCGAGCTGCTCCTGCAGGACGAGTGTGACGGGTTCAGGCCCCCGTCCATGGGGATGGCCGGAATCGTCTCTCCAGCGGTGATCTCGGAGAAGGAGAGGCTGAAGGAGAAGAGGATGTCTGGCTCACCGCTGCGTGGAGGCTCACAGGAGATGGATGAAGATGCGGATGTGGACACATCAGCTGAGGAGCAGGCTCCTTGGAGGACAGAGGAGGAGCAGTCAGCTCCAGATGCACACACCGAAGTCCAAAGTCAGGAAAATAACCAGACATCTGCTTCAGGGCAAGTCCAGAGCAACAGTACCTCAGGTAGAAGACCAGCAGGAGTGTTACGTTTAGCTTCTTTCTTTTCTAAATTGTAACGTTAAACTGCGTGTACGTAATATGACGTGTGATTCTAGAACCAGATAATGAAGCATCAATGCCCCAACCGCAGTCCAGTCCCTGCAGTCCGGTACGGACTCTCCAGGAGCTGCATCCCAAACTGTCATCCAGTCCACCACGCTCCAGCCCCCTCCGCTCAGCTGGACCTGCATACTCCTTCAAAAAGGGTGCCTGATCAGCTACTTCTGGGGTTTCTGTTTTACACCTTCACACCTGTGCATATTTCACCCGCCAAAACAAATTATGGACAGAGCAGCCATAAAAGCTGTTGAACTTTATCCTTCTTGTTTAAGCTGCAGGTGACAGAATCAGTTCAGATTGACTGTGGTTCATTAGCATTGCCTGAAGCAGAAGAATTTATTCACCTGTTAGTTGAGGGTGAAATGAAGACTTAACTGTGATGTTTTATTCAGACGTGGAAAAAAAAAGTTTAAACAACACTTAATAAGTTTAACGTTCCTTCCTCCAGCTGCTCCTTCAAGGCTCTGCCGATGTTCACTCTGGTTTTAGCTCTTTGTTTTGCCTCCGTAGACATTACTCTCTTACTTTTACTTCCATGATGCCAACAAAAAAGCAAAATTCTTCTTCTTCCACTTTTTACCAACAGTCAGCGAACCGAATAAGCTAGCTGTTAGCCGTTATATTAGCTACTGGCACAGTAAACAGCTATTGCCGTAAAGCAGGCAGAGACCTCTGACAAGTGTTCCTGCCCAAACCACGAAACTGTTCTGCTCAGCAGAGGGTTACAGTGCTGTTCAGTGTGAAGTTGCTCATGTTTCTGCCTCAAGAATCTCTGAACCCAGTTTGAAAATGGTGTTAAAATCTCTTTAGTGTTGATTTAAATACAGAAAAACCTGCAGAAGACTTAGACGTAACTTGAAACTGATAATAATAATAATTAAAATTCAACTGATGAAAATCTAATTTCTGTTGAATTTAGGTTCATCAGAATAAGAATTTAAAAAACTAATGAAACCGACTTAAGTAAATATTATGGTACTCCAATAGAAAAGATAAGCTAAGGGGCATCTTGTAACTGTTTCTGTTCAACCACAAGTCTTTGTGTTGTTTCAGTAACTACTGATTATTTGTCTCCCGTAAGTGGAAGAGTCCTAACGATTTATGTCTGTAAACGAAGAAAAATTGTGATGTCGTTATACGATTAGATCTGCTTGAGACTCTGGCTGATGGCGTTGTTGGTTGAGTCTGTCTCCTTCGTGTCTTCCAGCTCAGCTGCTGCTCAGTTCCAGGAAGAAGAAGCAGTCTCACTATCGCAGCGTAATCTCAGACATCTTTGACGGCTCCATCCTCAGTCTGGTCCAGTGTTTAACCTGTGACAGGGTAAGATGTGCTTCATGTGTTACAACACCAGGGGGAGCTCCTCACGTAATCCAACTCAGAAATGTTCTGCGTAATCACAGATGAAGACATTTTATATAGATAGAAATTTGACTTGTGCTTTTTTATTTGAGAGAAATAATAGCTGTTATGAAATGAATAAAAATGTTGCAGGTTAACATTTTATCTTTCTAATGACACCGTCTCATGCGTTGTGATTCAGCTCTGTGGATGTGTGACAGGTTTCCACCACGGTAGAGACCTTCCAGGACCTATCCCTGCCCATTCCGGGCAAGGAAGACTTGGCGAAGCTGCATTCCTCCATCCATCAGAACCTGCCAATGAAGACCGGCGTCTGCCCCGACACCTACGGCTCACAGGGCTGGATCGCTTACATCATGGACTCCATACGCCGGTCAGTGAAGCACATTCTGTTTAAAGTGGTAGTCGCACGCGCAGTAAACTATGAAATGATGATGAAAACACGTGAAGGGTTTTTGTTTTATTGCCAGATGCAGGTTAGAAAAACAGGACTGCAGGGTTTGTGTTTCACTATGAATGTGGGCAAGTAGCATCTTGAGTTGTCATGTTCTCCCTATTTATTCGTAAAAGTTCGCTTCATTTTTCTGGAAGTCGACCACATTTGGAATTCCAAGTAAGTGATCATCCCGTGCGTTGAATGCAGCTGTTTTGGGAAAATGTACTACAGGTAAATGCAGGTGAGGACATGCAGGTAGCTCTGCCTAAACTTTAGAGGCAACAAATGCAGCCTTGCGCTCTTTTCAGTTTTCTCATGTGCTTACCTTTCTTTTGTTTTTAAGGCGTCTGTATGATTACCCTGCAATAGACTCATCACATCAGCAATGACGCATCACTTTTTTATTTACAGGAAACGGCTAAATGTAGCCGGTCATCGTGAAACCCAGACTCCTTTTAAATATTTAGGCGTTGCAGCTGAATTTGAGTTTAAGCCGGCTGCTTTAAAATAGTCTGAGTTTAGTTTTTCAGGGCCAACCTTGAATAGTGTTGGGATTATGGTTAAACAGTTGAGGAAAATAATTGTCCAAGGCAATGAGAAGAAAATGCATTCATTATCTATGCTGGGTGGTGGTTTATCATCATCGTCAGTTTGTGATGAAAACAGTTTTATGACATCAGTGAGTAGATTTCCCTTTATTTTAAATCAATGATGTACTAATTGAGACTTTCCCTTGCATTTGTCACGGCTGCAGCTCATCCATAGGTGGCGCTGGAGTTCCACCCTCAAATGTGGAGGAGAAAAAAGTTGTGTGTGTTCATTTAACAAACATCAAATATGATGATCTGCAATGTTTGTGGTGAATTAAAGACGCTATGAATTAGATTTAGCCTGGCAAGCCAGACTAAATAAATGTATTATTTAGTGTGGCAACGCTCCATTGACGGCTCTCGGTTGTGGGGCGGGTTCTACCGTTGTCTTTCAAACAGGGTGTCCGCGGGGTTTTAAAAAGTATTAAAAAGTGATAAATAAAAATAGTCAAATTTAAGGCCATTAAAAGTGTTAAATTTGGTCTCAGAGGTATTATTTTTTCCAAATTAGGTATTATTTTTTTCAGACTATCAGATGTCGTATTCTGAACATCGACATAGAAATATGTTCCGAATGAAATGTTTTGAACGATTATTAAAAACAAGCCGATTATTTGCTCCTCCCACTTGCGCTGCCTTGAGTTGCAAATGAAGCGCTCCTCCCAGTGTTGCCAAGTTAACTTGGCGACTTTGACGCTATTTCTAACAGCTTCTCAGACCCGCTTCTTGACTTTTTAAATCTTAAAAGTACCTAGCGAACACCTCAGAAACATCTCTGGTAACCCTTAGCTTCTTTCTGGATAACTATCGTCAACATTTCCTGCAGGTTAGCTAAACACTCCGCCTGCACTCCGGACCGTTCTTCAGGACATTATAGTAAAGGGAATGATGTAGTGATGTGTCAGTCGCTAAAGACAGCTCTCGGAGCCGACTCCCTGTTGGATTAACCAGAGTGAGTGACACACACAACGCACCTGCGGACTCCTGAGCCGCTAAAAACGGCTAAATGTGCGCGTGCGGCGTGCTAAACACGTGCAGCTTGCCCCTGATTGCTGTGAGACCGGGTTGGGGGGTGGGGGGGTGCAGCTGTGGTTGGGGCAATTATTACATTAACTGATGGACTTGTAAATAAATAGTTTATAAATAAGGTAGAAATAAGTTCCTCACGCTGATAAATAATAACTAATCTCTCTGAGGACACGGTGCTAGTGCACTCTCCTACAGCACCTTGACATGACTAAATAAATGCTACGCAACATTTAGTGAACATCAATTTGCATGTATTTGTTATAAATGCCACTGTATAATTCTTGCTGTCAGTATTTGCAAGATATTGGTATTTGGGTCTGCACTGGTTAGACTTAAATGAGTTAAACCAAGGTCTATAGCCCTTGGGTCATAAACTATGAGCTATAAGTATATTGGTCTTTTTATACTGGAAATCAGGAGTTATTTTAGTGATCATCTTGTTTCTTGTTTATTTTTGCCCTGATTGTTCCCTGAGCAGTTTTATGACTGAATAAAAAAAAATCTACATAAATTGAAAAATCGTCTTAAATAATCGAGATCTCAATTTCAGTCACAATAATCATGATTATTGTTTTTGCCATAATCGAGCAGCCCTACTTTAGCATATCCGGTCACATAATGATGACGTCATATTCAGTGGTCGTTGTGCATCATTTCAGGCCTCGTGGTCAACTGTCTGAACCGCTGAACAGAAGTGCCTGGCTTATTTTCTAAGTAAAATAAATACGTGCAATACGTTGTCAACATCAGTGAGTCTTTAAGTCTATTCTTTTTGTATGTTATATATGTTAAAATATGTGTAAATAGGTCGCTGATTAACACTTGCAATTTAGTGTTGTGATGGTTTTAAAAAAAATTCTGAAGGTAGTAAAAAAAAGTATTGAAAAGTAGTAAATTTTACTTAAGGATTGCTGTATATACCCTGTTCAAATGATCTCTGCATTCCACTGGACAATGACTGTGACATACTCTTGTTTCACTCTGTTGCATCATCCCACCCACCAGGCATATAGAGTGCCCTGATTGGCCCACAAAGCGGACAAAGCTCTGTGATTTGTTCACCAAGCAGATAGAGCACTGTGATTGGCCCACCATTATGGACCAAATCACAGCTCTTAATGTGTTTGAAACCCCTCTAGAGAGCTGTGATTGGCTAGCCAGAGTCCTGGTAGGAGCTGCTGAGGTTCCAATGGAGCATGCCTAGACCAAACTTTGCAAAGCAAGAATTTGGTCTAGTTCACTAGGCTAAATTAGATTAGCTCCAGTTAGCCTGCTGAGCTAACGGAAGCTAACCACCGTTGGTGTGTTGTTGCTGTGTTGAAATTCTAATTCCATCTTTTAGTTCTTTTTAAAACACAGAGCGGTTTTATTTACCTGCAACGTTTCGTTTGCGGTTGCGGACTTCGTCAGGCTGATGAACTGAGCCGCGTGCGTCTTTAACAGCCTTACTGTCATTTAGTTATTGTGCACTTGTCGTCATTTCCCAACTGTTCATTTCTTTGCTTTCGCTGATGAGCTAGCTGATTATTATTAGCACATCTGCCTCATCAAGAATCTTTCTTGTACCAGCCGCCTCAGATTTGTCATGTTAGGTGTTGGAGCAGAGACCATCAAGTTGTAACTAGTTATTATTCAGTAGCTTGCAACTTTAGAAAATGTCATCATAGGTGAGTCATGCCGAACTTCAGGACTTTAGTTAGGGTCTCACCCATCTTGACTCACGACGGGGAAGTGCTGTCGTTGGTTTAGCATTCAGGAAACAGCAGAGAACGTCTTAGCTAGCAGAAGCCAACCATTAGCATTAGCAACACAGCAGAACTCCAGGCTTGTGTTATTTGTGGAGATGAAACATCAACGTTGCAGCGCAAATGGAGTCAGTGGTAGAGTCGTTGCTGTTAGCCAATCAAAGAAGAGATGTCCAAATATCAGGAAGTCCTGCCGTCTTCTGCTCCACTCTCTGGATCACTTCTAGTTCCTGAAACAGGAGAGCCAGAGCTTTTTTACCTCTGAGATCGACTAACAAAGCGCTCATTTAGACCACCATTAATGTACTGAAAAATGAGAGAACTTGGTTTTATACAATTAAAAGTTGTTCCAGCTCTGGTGCTCTGTTTGCAGCTGATGGAAATGAACTTTTGTACTTTAAAAAAACTTTTTTCCCCATGAATTGAAAAGCTTTTGTTCTGCTTAAACTGGAACTTAACAGCCTGCTCAACATTTTACGGTCTTCTGTCGGGTTGTAATAAGTTTTAAATAGCTACCTGGACTCTTGGCTGCTTCACCGTTTAACCATCTGATTTGCAGAAGCCTTGGGTCTGATTTCTGCGTGCAGCGCTGATTGTTGTCTCATTAAACAGGTTTGTTGTCTCATGCATCCCCACTTGGTTTTGGGGGCCCATGGTTACTCTGGAGGACTGCCTCGCTGCCTTTTTTGCTGCAGATGAGCTGAAAGGTGAACAGAACTGAAATGTGATGTTCGCCCCATTCAATGTGCTTGAACTCACGTTTCTGTTCGTCATCTGTTCCAGGAGACAACATGTACAGCTGCGAGAGATGTAAGAAGTGAGTATGTACAACGATCCAGGCTTGCTTCGGATGAGAACACTGTGTTCTTTTATTAATTATTTTTGCCTGTAACAGGTTGCGAAATGGGGTCAAATACTGCAAAGTGCTAAAACTCCCTGAGGTATGTGTTTTATCTTTTGATTTCAGTCTTCCTGCAGATAAAAAGTAAGCTTTACTGAACGCGAGTATGTGTCTTGTATAGATTCTTTGCATTCACCTGAAGCGTTTTCGACACGAGATCATGTATTCATTCAAGATCAGCAGCCATGTGTCGTTCCCGCTGGAGGGCCTCGACATGCAGCCTTTCCTGGCTAAAGACAGCCCATCTCAAGTCACCACCTACGATCTGCTGTCAGTCATCTGCCATCATGGCACGGCAGGAAGTATGAGAATACATCATTTCCCACAAGCTGTGTTTCGTTTCTCTGTGGTTCACCAGACACTGACCAAGCACCTGCACGAGTTGCTTGATCTTATCAGTTCTTAGTCAGCAGAAAAACTGATCTTCTTGCATTTTCTCATCTGTTTTGTGTGCAGGTGGTCATTATATAGCTTACTGTCAGAATGTGATTAACGGTCAGTGGTATGAGTTTGATGACCAGTATGTGACAGAAGTCCACGAGACGGTGGTGCAGAATGCAGAGGCCTACGTTTTGTTTTATAGGTGAGCATAAAAGCATCGGATCGAAACGGGAACCGTCGGATCTTTGTTTAGGTGTGACCGTGTTTCTGACGTTTTAACGTAGGAAAAGCAGCGAGGAGTCGGTCCGAGAGAGACAGAAGGTGGTGGCTCTGGCCAACATGAAGGAGCCCAGCCTGCTGCAGTTTTACATCTCCAGAGAATGGCTGAACAAGTTCAACACCTTCGCCGAGCCAGGCCCCATCAGCAATCACACGTTCCTCTGTCAGCACGGAGGTCTGTCTCAATCACCTCTCTGTGGTCACAACTGCGTCTGGTGTAATTTACACAACACACACAGGAAGTTCACAAGAAGTTCAGTTATGTTTTCAGTCGAGAACTGCCCCACAGGGAAAAACCAAGCGTGTGATGGAGAGCGCTCCAACCGAAGGGAGTCATCATAACCGACCATTTACCTTAGAATAAAGTTTTAAATGTAAAATCCAGCCATAAAAAAGCAGCTTGTGTAGCTTTTAAATGTTTCAGGGTGACACACTTTATAATTATCTTACTGCCATTTACTGAAATGAATAACATTTCTGTAACGTCCTACAAGTAAATTACAATGTTTTATTTTGTAGTTAAGAATAGCTTATTTAAAGACACGGAGCTTTTGAGTTGTTCTACAGGAACCCAGAGAAATATTTGCTCTAAACGTTGTTGTTGCTTTGCTCTCCTCGCAGGTATTCCTCCTAATAAGTACCACTATATTGACGATTTAGTTGTGATCGTTCCTCAGAATGTGTGGGAATACCTTTACAACAGGTAAATATTAGCCCAGTGGTGTACTGTCTCACGTCGGTGTTTTCCTCTGTTGCTTTTCTGTTTAGGACTTTTTTGAATCTCAGCAGAAAGAAAGTAGGGATTTTACCACCACCATTAGATTTAGGGTATGAGTGGAAATCATCAATGGTTGTGGAAAAATATCTTTATTTTACCTTTAACTCTACGCAGTTTAAATATTAGTGAATGGACACATTTAAAGAGCAAGTCACCCCCTACCAGAGTATTACTCCACTCCCACTTCCCGTTTGAAAAATGCAACAAATGCTGTTGCCTAGCAGACCGAGAGGACAGAGCCGCTAACAAATACACACACACACAGGCTCACAACGACATTGTGACATCATATGGTACCAGCTAACATTCTAGGGTACCTCTTAGCCAATAGCAATGGCAGATTTTAGTTCAAATGCAGTGCAGAGTTTTTACCTGACAACGGCACAACACTGACAGTTTTAGGAAGAAAATTAAAAATTTAACTAAAATGCACTAAAGTGCAAAACTATTGACTACACGTGTGTGCAGCACGATTAGACACGCATTTATATAGTTTATCCGGAAAAAAAATGGTTGAGTTGGGGGTGACTTGCTCTTTAAATTTGCACTCTGTAGATTGTGACTTATACACCAGTGAGTGTTTCGCTCAAGGGCACTTAGGTACACTGCAGAGGATTGACATGAAAATATCCAATCATTCAGTTAGAAGATGAACTCACTTCTGGGCCTAAATCTGCCCATTTTTACCTAAACATTCAAAAGTGCTGTAAATAATGTTAAATTCTATTAGAAGATTAAAGGTTTTAATTGCGTCTCTTGATTTAGGCTCTTATTTCCATTCTTTTCTTGGCCTAATCTGTTTAACATGACATCTGAAGCCAATTAAGACTTTCTGAACGTTTTAATTAAATCCATCCAGGGATATTTAGCTTATGAGACTCCAGCAGTTAATGCTAACATTTTCTCTTGTCTGATAATTGCATTAGCATCTGATGGAAGACGCTCGGTTTAGAGAAGTCTAGCAGCTCTACGTCACAGTGTCACTTAACGTTAATGGACTCACCCATCTTGACTCGCAACAGGGAAGGCTGTTGTTAGTTAAGCGTTCAGAAAAATGTAGAGAACGTCTCGGCTAGTAGAAGCTAACTGTTAGCCTTAGCAACTCCACCACACAGCAGAACTCCTTCAGGCTTGTGGTGTTTATAGAGATAAAACATCAACCTTGCAAAGTGGCCGGTGGTTGAGTCGCGTTGCTGTTAGTCAATCAGAGGAGAAATGTACAAATATCAGGAAATAAACAGGCCCATTGGAGCTTTATTCCCCCAGAGAACGACTCACAAGTCATTCATTCTTACTACAGACAACTGCAAATGTATTTAAATATAAGTAAAGTTGAGCTAAATTTCACCATTTTCTAATAAACTTTAAAAAAAACACTTAGACGTTTCTTTCAGCAACTAATTTTATTTAACTTCAGTTCAAATTCAGAAAAAAACTATTGACCCCAGAGGGAAATTAAATGTGTTTATAACTGATAAAACAATAATAACAACAATAAAATACTACCAACAGACCGGGAGCAGGAGATCGACAGGCGGATTGGTTCAGCGTCTGCAGTGATGCGGACGCTGCCTTGGTCTGCCTGTCGATCTCCTGCTCCCTCCTTCCTAGGGCTGGGCAATAAATCGAAAATGTATCGTTATTGAAATTTCTGACTCTTATCGAGATAATTGTTCCCATGTCAATACATTTGATAATAAAAAGAAAGATGTGCGTAGGTTAGCAACGTTCATGTCCCTTTAAGAAGCTGTACCACCTCAAGTCACATAAAAATGTCTCAACGTAATACATGTGACAGCCCCAGCTAGTGCATACCTGTAGTTATCGTCCGTTTATCGTTATTGAGGTGAAATCCTCAAAATATCATGATATTAATTTTAGGCCATATTGCCCAGCCCTACTCCTTCCCTCACTCGTGAACAAGGCCTGAGGAACTTGAACTCCTCCACTTGAGGCAGGACCTCTCTCCCGACCCAGAGTTGGCAAGCCGCCCTTCTCCGGTCGAGAACCATGGTCTCAGACTCGGAGGTGCTGGTCCTCATCCCAGCCGCTTCACACTCGCCTGCGAACCTCCCCAGCAACAGCTGTAGGTCAGAGCCTGATGAGGAGGACCACATCATCTGCATAAAGCAGAGATGAGATTCTCCTGCCACCAAACTGGTGGCAAACAACATGTTCTTTAAGTTGTTGTGGGTGTAAATAATTTATCTCGATTATTTGGTTCATGACTGCTTTAATGGTTGTTTATGGTTGTTGTTAAGTGCGTGTGTGTGTTGGTTTGAATGTTTTCAGTTTTGGAGGGGGCCCAGCTGTCAACCACCTGTACATGTGCGCCATCTGTCAGGTGGAGATCGAAGCTCTTGCGAAACGTAGGAAAACCGAAATCGACACCTTCATCAAGGTGAACGCCTGCTCTCCAAAAGGGTTCGGCTTTCTGTGTAAATGCATCTCCAGTGCTTTGTGTGAGAGCTGCTGTTGTTGTTGTAGTTGAACAAAGAGTTCCAGGCTGAGGAGGCGCCGACGGTCATCCTGTGTATCAGCATGCAGTGGTTCAGAGAGTGGGAGGCCTTCGTCAAGGGCAAAGACAACGGTAAAAACACCAGAGTTAGCTTAGAAATCAGGATCTTTATCTGTCTCTGTTTACTAAATGATGTATTTTCCTTTTCTCCCAGAGCCACCAGGTCCTATTGACAACAGTAAAATTGGCGTTATGAAAGGAGGACACTTACAGCTGAAGCAAGGTAAAACACTACTGACAGAGAGGATTAAACGTTCCTAATCTCTCAAGAAGATTCCTCTGGGATTTTCAGCAGGAACTTTTCTCGATAGGAACAGAAGAACAGAACATGGAAAACAAGGGAAAAAAATCATTGAGATTCAATGAATTTTAAAAATATAGTACAAAGGAGAAAATATGCAAATATACCAGATAATATTGCACATCATGTGACCCCCCCCCCCCCCCAAATACTGGTAAAAATTACTTTTGTAATTCAAATTCAATTCAAAGATACTTTATTAACCCTCTGGGGTCCATGGACGCGTGTATGCGTCTTTTGAACAGGTCTGATTTGGGACGCTGTAGCAGCAAGACTCCGCCTCCCTGAGTTTCGCTTTCAATTCAGCTTTAAAAAGGAGATTATAAACTACACCCCAGTTTTTAAATTTTGTTAATAGGCAATGTAAAAGTGGAGTTATACTAAGCTAAAAAACGACCTATTTTTAGACAATCTGACTTGTCAAAACAGCAGTTTAGTAATCCGTGAGAGGGAATGTGCTTGTGAACATAAAAAACCCCACAAAAGCTTTATGACACGTCTCTAAATAAAGTAAAGATTTCTAGTGCAGAGAGGAGACAACCCATAGAAGCACTGATTTGATCTCATTTCAGAGAAAAATAGAACAGGTTAGATGCACCTAATAAATAAAATTACTAACAAACTCAGGAATCTGTTTCTTTGCTTCACTGTTCTGGTGCTGAGAATATCACTAATGCGGATAAAAGGAGATACACAGATGAATGCACCTCTTATTTATTGTTTGGAGACTACATTTACTGCAGCTGGCAGAGGCAGAGATTGTTTCTATTGATACGCGGAGTTTACAGAATCATTTTAATCGGGGAAGACTGCAGGAGGGAGCGGTAAAATACAGGGGGTCCCCAGCAAAAACAAGAAACTTTACGAGTCTGATGAAACCCGCTGGTTTTCCATCAGGCAGTCATGGGGCAGCTCCAACGACCCAGTGGCTGTGCTGGGTCAATGTTATCGAGCCCAGTCCGGCTCGGCAGAGGGTGAACGAGCCGAGGCGACGTCGTGCTCTGCTTAAGAAGAAGTGTTATTTTCCCGCTTCAGAAGAAGCGTCCAACGTGTTTTTACGCTTTCTCTGAGACATGTCACGTTGTCTGTACAGGATCTGCTCGGGTGCAAGATTGGCTCGGGGTCCGTCGACTGCCGATGACGTCTAAGTAGTTGATTGGCTGAACATGAACCTTACGGAATTACGTAATCACGTTACGTTGTTATCACGTTACGTTAGTCCAGGCAAATCTTTCTGTTGGAAAGATGGACAACTTTTACAAAGAAATCCATCATTACCTCTTTGAAAATACACTTTTAGCATAGAGCTGCATGTATATTAGGGCTGAACGATTAACTGCATGTGCAATTAAATAACGATGTGACAAAAGGAGATTTTCTAATCTCAAAGGCTGCAATTTCACAGCGAGTGGTTAGCGCAATGCTAATATACGTGGAAAAACCCATAGGAATGCTAATGCTAATATTGCCAATTACATTATTACAAATTATGAATTAGAAACATGCCAAATGATTACATTTGGAGTCTAATAGAAAGTAAAAATACCATCAATCAAATAAGTACAGACAGGTATTTTAGTAAAGCCAGAAATCTTTTAACTCCAGAGTTTTGGCTAGCAGCTATGAGTGTAACTGAACTACGCATGGACAAGACGTCAAAACTCTAAACACAAAATACTTCAATAAACGGGACACACTTCTTTCCTGCAAATACAATTTCACAGGTGTTGCTAATACCTGTGATCCTTCAAGGGATGTGCTCAAAGAGGAGTTCAACATTATGAATAAAATATAGTGTTTTATTTTACAAATACCATTATAAACACAAACTTACGTCTTAAGAAACATTATTTTAATAACGAAACTGCTAAATTCTTTCCAAGAGTATAGATGTGTAGTGGATTTTGTCCGAGTGGGTTTGCCGTACTTTGACGTCATCGGCAGTCGAAGGACCCCGAGCCGATCTTGCACCCGAGCAGATCCTGTACCGACAACGTCGCTAAGTGCGCGCTAACACTTCAATAGTGCAGCGTAGCCTGCTGGAGGTTTTAAGGGTTCAGATGAAAACACCCAACCTCTCATGCTGCTCACACATCGATCTTAAGTTGTCGCTGTTGCGCTCACATCGTAATACAGTATTAGATGCGGTTAAAGTCAGACATGAAAAAATAAATAAATTTTACTTGAATAAGTGATGATTAGCCTGGTGGAGGGAGGAAAACCTGGCCTAATAAGCACTGGAGGAAACCCTGTCAAGATTGTCAACACTCGTTTATCTTAATGCTATTGAAACATGTAAACCAAAAAGCATTATATCCACCACTACCTTTCTAATTTTAAACTCAGTAACTTATGCTGTAACGTCACCTTGCCCTGCCTGCTCCTCCTTGCTGCCCGCCGGCTGTGATCACAAGCGACAACATAGTAGTTCCCGCTGCTTCTTCGGGAAACAGCGCAAAAAAAATAAAAATAAAACTTGGGATCTTGTAGGCGTGGCGGTGGGATTTCAGCCGTGGCAGACCGTCACAGCCACGCCTATGTAAGGGAAACCCTGCTGCAGTTTAGTAGGCTTTTATTAGGCTTCAATAAAGGATGATGAGAAATGTCCACCAGGCAGTTAAGCTGTTTTTTGAACTGGAAGCAGAGGAAGTGGACAGAGACTCACAGCCGGAGTCTGAGGCAAATAGGGAGGATGTTGATGACGATGTGGCAGATCCATCCTTCCTCATAGAAGAGTTGGGTCATGATGAGGTAGAGGATGAAGGCAGAGATACAGCTCCTCGGACACCCAACAAGAAGAGTGGGTGGCGCCACGTAGTCGTCAGATCTCGATCTCCGCTGTGTGAGACAGAGCCACTCCCCACTCCAAAATGCAAGTACATTATTGTCAAATTAATAAAATAAGTATAAATTCAGATAGTCCAGGTTGTCCTGAAAAAAAAAAAGATACCCCATAAGGCAATATTTATTGTTTTTATTAGAAAATACAAAAGAAAAACCAAAATGAGTCAAAAATGGTGATTTACACTCCGGACCCCAGAGGGCTAATCATTTTTTTTTAATTTGTTATTTGCTATATTTATTCATATTTTTTATAAATGTACAGTCTAGATTACCATTCTAAATCATAAAAAAACATTCGTCATAAATGTTTGTTGGTTTCACAGTAAAATAAGCAACTTTTTTCCAATTCGGAGTTTATGTTTTTGAGTGATTTAAGGTCTAATATGCAACCCCTTTATGTCCAAATATAAAAAATAAGTATAAATTTATAAAGTCCAGGTTGTGCTGAAAAGATCGATACCACATAAAGCAGTGGTTATGGTTTTTATTTTGGAAATACAAAGGAAAACTAAATTAGTCAAAAACGGCAAATTACACCCTGGACCCCAGAGGGTTAATCCCAGAGGGAAATTAGAGTTTCAGCACACACAATTCTGAGATCAGACATACATGGGCAAAGACACCTGACAAGAATTGGTGACTGTGGTCATTCGCAATCCGAGTCGCGCTACATGAGGATTGGATCAGGTGGAAGAAAAAAAAGGCACTTCAGAGTTACCCTCCACAGGGAGGGCAGCTTTGCTATGCAAAAACACCTCAGACAGAAATGCAACAGACTTCAGACATTACACAACATAAGTGTCCACTAGGTGGGGTGGTAGGGTTTTGGGACTCTCCACACGTCGTCAGCAGCAGCAGTGATAAGCAGCGCTCTTCACCTCAGTCTGGAAGGGGGTGGGAGGTCGTTGGGTTTACAGAGCACAGTGACTCCTGGAACGATTCAGTGGCCTTCACAGCTCGCAGTCCCGCCCAGGCTGGCATAGGGAGACAGAGTTGCCATGGCAACAGCAGCATTCCACATTTCTTTTGAGGGGGGCTATTCATTTCAGCCTCACAGGCTCAAGGGCACCAGATTCAGATAAGAAATTGTTTTGGGGCCCGACAGAAATAATTTCTTCTCTGTCTCAGAGTTCCACTGGTCCTCAACTTCTCAAAATCCAATAATGGCGTAGATTAATCTATCCCAATCTGTGCTGATTCGTCCACTCGCTCCTTGATCGCATCCATCTTTTCTGCCAATGCATGAATCTCAGCCAAAGTTCCAAGCTTATGAATCATCTCGACAATTATATGAGTCTGTGAATTCACAGCACGGTGTAATCCATCCCTGGGCTCCGGGAAAGAGCCAGTATTCCTCGACAGCTCGTTAATTTTCCAGTAAGCCAGGTAACCTCCAAGGCCAAAGAGCGGGAAACCAGGCACCAACACCACGAATATCCAGACGTCTCCAGATTCCTCTACAGAGAGCTGAGAGAGGCATATCAGGTTCCACTGTTTCCAGGAGTCCATGATGTGCCCAACTGGATCTGTCCCAGTGGGGCACCCTGGAGCCCCTTCTCCCGTTCTCATCGTTGAGAAAGTTTTATCAATCGCGTTGAGAGACGCTGACCAGATCCATTTTTAATAATTTCCAGTTTCCAGAAAAAATGTAGAAGCTCCGTACACCCAAAGACAGACAAAGAGCCTTGGGGCTAAGATAGGGAGGAGAGGAGGAAAAAAGCGTCTACTCTCCAAGAGCCGGAAGAAGAAAAAAAAATCCCAATAACGCACCCAGTAGTTCAACCAAAACTCTGTGTTTCTGTCTAAAGCTTGTATTTAATAATTTTAATCATTTTTGGTGAGTGTATGTGGGTAGGAGCTGGGGTTGGGGGAGCCTGGCTTACCTTGGTGCAGGAAAGGGGAATAAAGAAATAAAGGTTGGGACATGCTGAGTTAGATGAACATATTTTTGCTGTGCCTTTCACCTCAGGTGCCGATTATGGCCAGATATCAGAGGAGACATGGCAGTACTTGTTGGGCATTTATGGCGGAGGTCCTGAGATTGCAATTAGACAGACGGTGGCCCCGGCTGACCCCGACAGTCTTCATGGAGAGAGGAAGATCGAGGCGGAGACCAGAGCACTTTGAGACTGACAAAGGTCATAATCCTCACTGACTGTCTTTCATCTGAAAGTAGAACGTGTAACTTTAACCATATGAACTCATAAATCCCATCTGTCCAGCAAGAGCTGTGCATCTGAGGCCAAGATTACCACCACACATCTGTAAATCCCATCTGCAGCTGGAGTTTATGCTCTCTCTCTCTCTCTCCCCACAGGTCTCCTGATTCCTTCCCACTCCTGCCCTCACAAGCAGCTGATGAATTTGCACCTTGGTGATGAAGCATTGTGAGCACTTTGTAAATGTAGAAACACATTATCTCAAAGCCAAGTTGCAAGAAGAGGAAACGGTACCTAAATATTACAGTTTTAGCTCAGAAATCTGCCGTTAAGGTTTAAAAAAACGACTTTGTGTTGCATCTCCAGAGCTGGTTTTGGTCACCGTGGTGTCTCAGTGGCTGCTGTAGTGGCTAGATGTCATGTACCGCTTAAACGGCCGCAACCGGCGGACAGCTGCCGGTGTCACAAACCAGAACGGCGCAGGCCGATGTTTAGCGTGGAGACTTTTCTTTTTCCTCACTGGAAGCAACAATTAAGATATACAAAGTGGTTTTCTGCTGTATGTCTGTTTGCTAGTTACTAGCATAGCAACAAACGCAGACCCGGAGTGAGAAACTCTTGTTTTCACCTTAAACACATCATGCACTGAGCCCTCAGGAATGGAAGTCTTTTTGTTAGTTTTGGCGGCTGACATTTTTATAGCAGGTTTGTTTAGCTCTAAAAACATGCATGTGCGAGTTATGCACAATTATTTCTGAGCTCAAACTGCATGCAGCTGCAAGTAAGAGCGTTCTGCTGTAAAGCTGAGATGCTGCGTTCTTGTTTTCTGAAACGGACAGTTTTGTTTGTTTACATGCTCAGAGTTATTTAATATAAACCTGCTTTTGTAAAGTTTCTTCCAGCTGGATGGGGAAATAGGCATAAGTGCATATATACATGTGAATATTAACATTTCATCAGTGAAACAAAAAGGAGAGAAAGGTAACGACTCATCAGAGGTGATGAGAGAAACTTTTTCATCAGTTCTTCAGTTGCAGGCTTTAAAGGTGTGGGTGCCTGAAAGAACATTTTTTCAAATGTTTTTTTCTGATTATAATCTGTCACTCTTGAGTTTTTCATCCAGGCTGAACAGGAAAATGGTCTCCTACACCTATCTCCTGCATTAGCTTCTGGTAGAAAATAGATGATGAAAATCCCGGATTTGAACATTCTCACAGATCTACGTCACACTGTTAATTAGCATTCATGGACTCATCCATCTCGACTCACGACGAGGAAGGCTGTTGTTGTTTTAACATCCAGGAAACGGCAGCGGACGTTTCGACTAGTTTAAGCTTACCGTTAGCATTAGCAACATCACCACACGGCAGAACTCCTTCAGGTTTTGTGCTATTTGTGGAGATAAAACATCCACGTTGCAAGTCAGTGGTAGAGTCACATTACTGTTATTCAATGTGGGTCACTGCTAGTTCCTGGACTTACAAGGCAGAGACCACTGCATATGTATTGATTAAACAAGTCAACCACTGCTCCGATGTTTGAGAAAGGTTTGTTAATAACAGGCCATTACGTCAGGTTTTTACCATGTTTTATTTTCTTATGTTTAGCTCTTCAGTGAATCAGGAATCCAAATATGTCCAATGAAACAGTTTTGAAAAACATATTTGTGCATCTGTGGATTTTTATCAACAATATGTTTGTTAGTGATCCTGATCATGAGTAGTTGCACCTTCATAACCTTTATACTCACTTTATTATCCTCGTGGTTATTCTCATTTCACATTGAGTTAGGAAGGGATGATGTAAGCGACAGTGAAGGATTTGGTTTAGGACATCTATTTAAATAATTTGAGCAGGATTTTTGGAGCTAAAGTATTAGTTCAACTTGTCAGCCCAACTACTTTTACTTTTGACTTCTTTTCCTCCTATAACATGCTGAGATGCAACATGGATGTTGAAACTAGTCACATGTGCACAATTGTACATTGGCACAGACTTTCACTGATTTAGTTGGGATCGTTTCTTGCCAAGTCAAGCTCTGGAAGTGGAAAACATTTCTTAGGAGGAAATTTATTTAGATTTAGGAAGAAATAAATGAGGCACCTTTTGGTCTGGAGTCGGGGCTGCATCAGGTTTGATGTGCTGTTCACTCTTTTTTTCTATTTGAAATTTACTCATATATTGTTACAGTTAACAATCAGTAAGGTTTTAAATTCAGTCAAAAATATTCAGGTTTAATTATGTAGAACTACTAAAGCTTGTCTGAAGTCCCGTCATTGAACCACGATGCCTTCAAGCCACAGACACACCCACCATATTCAGTTAGAGGTGGGACTCTGTTATATTCAGATCTTTCCACAATGCTTTAATTTCTAAGGAATCACCCATCTTGACTTTCTGTTGTTCTATTTTTGTTGAAACAAAACCTGCAAGACGTGTTTGACAGAAGACTCAAGTGTGTCAGGAAAAGCTAAACTCTCCAGAATCTGAATGAGTAGATATTGTAAATAGGAAAAAATGTAGTATAAATATTATATCTTAAATAAGTCGTACTTTAAGAAAAATAGATGAGGGTTTTTTCAGCAGAAAAGGTTGATTTTACGATGACATTAGCTAGTTAGCAGCTAGCAATCTTTGAGCTTGCTAGCTGCAGCTCCCTGATAAACTTAACAAACATCTTCTGCTCGAAATTTTAAAGTATACACTTTAAAACCTTGAACACAAACTTCACTGGAAAATAATTAACTGTTACCAACTAAGCTAGCAGCAAGTTAGCGGTTTTAGCTTTTGGATGTAGCATCAGAGTCTGTTCTTTAACTTTTACCCATTTAGTCTTGTTTTCAGACATTTATTTGTTCTCTTCGAGGCTTGAGCTGTCCCCCTGACACATCAAGAAGCGAGAACATAGCTCAAAAAATTTTACATGAACACAGTTCTCACCACATATTTGCTTTGGAAACGTAAGCTAGGTAAAAATTATTTTTTTTAAATCTAGTAAATTACTTAATGTACTTTTGTTGTTTTTGAAGCATTTTTAAAAGTGCATTATGTAGAAATGAAGTAAAAACACACCCTTTACTGCAACCACTTTAAACACTCTGGAGCTTTTTGCCGGCCGTTGTCAAATTACAATTGTCGGCGCTGCATTATTAGCTCGCAGGAGACGGCAGCCCCGCTCTCACTGGTAAACCATAGTTACGTCCCTCCTTACTTTGTTTTGAAAGGAGAACAACTGACAATCCCCACAGCCAGCTGGATATATGTTTAAGTATAACCATTCTTCCAAAATGACTGAAACATTACTCTTGGGATTTTCTCACTGTAAAATTCTACCTATATTCTTACATACTGCACCTTTAATAAAAAGGGATGTGTTCTGGCAGATGATGGATATTTTATTCAAGGTTAATCTTTTTATAGAGTAAAGTCCAACTTTCACATTTGTTTTTTTGACTGTGTTACCTTGAAACGTCTTGTAAATGGGACATGACTTAAAGTGACAATTTGTAGTTTTTAACCAATAATCTCTAAAAAATATCCATCGAAAAGATTCCCCGTTGCTGAAAAACATTGGCCGTTTCAGAACATATAATCATAGAAATCCGTTCTAAAATACATGGGAGTGGGTCTAAGTCTCTGGGAGACGCCATATTGGAAAGGAAGAAAACTATCTTTTATATAGCGCCTCTCAAGATAAATTTGGATGCCATGTTTCCTTCTACAGAAACCCGTGAGGACATAATGCTTTTACTGATTTGTAACAAACGGTTTTATAACTTTCACCATTAATAAGCGCTGCCGCTTTACACATTTACCTCTTCAGTCATTGCCAGTGATGAAAGGGAATCTGATGATCTATTTATTTTGGTGGAGATTGCACTCCCAGGGTGTTTTGACCCTAATGGCCATCCGTTGTTAAGGTCTTATTTGAACACAAAAATAATGCTAACTTGCAATGATTTAGGTATGTACTGCCCCCTATCCCCAGGGAAACTACACACTGTCGCTTTAACTTAAAATGTCTTAACTGTTTGCTATTCATCTCCATCATTGTGGGACCAACGCCGGTAAAGATAAGATCTTATTGGTATCAATTCTATTCAAAGATGTTAAAATCTATTCTATTTCTAGTTAATATTTTTGTCTTTAACTCCTAATTTTCCACACGTCCACATTTATTTTCTTTAATTTTCATAAGAAAAGGTCACTGATGGGTTTTGTTGCACAAGTTTGTCTTTTCACACATTACCATTCTTTATCAGGAGACTATTGATGTTGCAAAAGTATGTTTTATATTAGTATATAGATACATTTAGGGGGAACAAGTGCAATCCAAATTAGTGCAATCTTCGGAGACACTAGTATACTATTTGAACAGCTGCCAGTAAAAGCTGAGACAGTGCAGCCTGTTGTAGCCCAGTGTTAAGGAGTCCTTAATGATAATTATTTAATTATCTCCACCCTGTAAATATGTAAGGTCATGTTGCAGCATGCAGATGCGTGTGACGGATTTCCAACCTGGAAAAGACGAGTTACTGTGGTTGAACACTTTATTGCAAATATCACGGCTAACGAGGTTTTGTGTGACTCACGTTTTCCATGCATTTTACGAAGTGCGGCTCTTGTGGTCAAGCCCTTGGTGATTTTTAAGCTGTGGTCAACCATAGTTCAGTGGGATGTCTTGATATGTTACTGATGTAATTATTATGACCGATTTAATGATTAAAATTTCCTTCTGGATCTGAATGTCCTTATTTTTTTCTTGTGTTTGGAAGCAGACAGGTTCATGTTAGAGAAGTGTTAAAGACAGGCTAATTTGTTTTGTCTGCCATCAGCTCAGTGGCCTAGTGGTAGTGTCCTCCCTGAGACTGGGAGATCAGGGTTCAATTCCTGGTCGGGTCATACCAAAGACTTTGAACAAATGGGATCCATTGCCTCCCTGCTTGACTCTTCTCAGCATTAAGGGGTTGGATTGGGGGGGTGGGGGTGGTTAACCACCAAATGGTTCCCGAGCACAGCTGAGTCTGCAGTTCACCGCTCCCCCATGGGAGAACAAATTTCGCACACGCATCAGTGTGTGTGACAGCTAATGGAGCTTTAACATTAAATGTATTTGTCCACTCCAGCGCCAAAGTCTTTCATGCAGAGTAAAACTGTTCTGACATGGTATGGCACCCAGACCAACCATTCTTTCTGCTTTAAAAACAGCAGAGAAACGGTTTCTTACTTGTTCTTTTTTAAATACTATTGGTCATTTTGAATTTCACAAATAGACAGGGAAACACTCAAGTTCTTCTACTTCCTGAAACAGGAGCATGGGAGCTTTTCCCCCACAGAAACTGACTCACAAGAAATTCATTTATAACAGGCATTACTTCAAATTTTTTTAAATTAATGTACAGCAATGAGTTAGCATGCATAGGTATTCTGCAGGTGCTCTGGTTTTTCTCCCGCAGACCAAATAACTGCATGTCAGGTAAAATGCAAGTGGCTGTTAATTATGGCATCTGTAAAATTAATAAACAAATATGTTAAAAGGGTTTAGACATAACTGAAGTGATTATTGTTTGTGGTTGACCTGCAGTGTAACAACAGCATGATGCAAAATAGAACAAAACAACAACTGAACTAATTTAAAACAATGGCTGCAAAAGTTAATTTTTTCTGCCAGAGTGGAAAGCACAACAGTCAGACATGAGTCCTTTTCTGAGAGTGGCAGATCTGCTTCAAATCTGACCTCCAGCCTCCCTTCTCCACTGGACTTGTTCACCAGCAGATGCACAACCACAGCTTCACATAACAAATACAGGACCCAACAGAAGGATGCATGGAATCGAAGCTCACACGTCACGGCTGAGCAACAGACTTTCCTTTAAGGTATAATAATGTTACTAAATTTATCTATTTGAGACGGTGTGGACAGATCATGTCTGAGAACCTGCTTTGTTTAATGATCACTTACCCAGTTATCCCAGCACTGAGACAGCAAGTCTGTGACAGGAATCCAGGAGTCAAGGGGAGTAGGTATTCTTTGAACCGTTATTTACATTCCTACGGAGTAAGGCAAGCTCAGTTCTACTGTCCAATTGGTTTTCTAAATGTGGACCTATTTGGGACAGTTGGGGGAAATGATCACATCAAAGCACAAATACGACTAATCTGTGAAACTCCTGTTGTGCTAGTTTCAGTTTCTCTTCTTTTAGAGGAATCAAGTTATTGACAAAAAAAAACTTGCATCAGAGTGATTTCACTTGTTTATCTTGAGTTTTGTGATGCAAAATTGATTCAGGGTATTCCTGAAAAAGATGGTCAACTTGACATAATTTATGGAACAGAAACACCCTTCAGGAGCTTTTGAATTCCCAGCCAGCTCCGAATCTCCAAAAACAAAAATGTCGGATCCTGAACAGGTTTGGTGGATGGGGACTTTACAGGCGAGGGATTCCTTGCTAATTTCCCCGACTGTGACATCACAATCATTTGTGAAACGACTCGTTTTTAGGTATATAAACCAAACACAGAGGACATAAAGACATTTAAGCATTTGGAGAGTTTATACTTGCAGTTCCATATGACCGGTGTCAGAGCTTGGGCCCCATTACCAGGAGGAAGTTGGCAAGTCGGACCGTGTTCTTTAATTGGAATAGAGTGCCTTCTCCAGGTCAGGGAGAAGTGGAGAAGTTTAAGTACGTGAGGGATAAATGGAACGTGAGATCGAAAGCTGGATTGGTGCAGTGATGCGGGCGCTGTACCGGTCTGTTGTGGGGAAAGAGAGAGCTGAGCTGGTCGATCTACGTTCCTACCCTCACCTACGATCTTTGGGTAGTGACCGAAAGAATGAGATCACAGATACAAGTGCCCAAAATGAGTTTTCTCCGCAGAGTGGCTGGGCTCTCCTTTAGAGATAGGGTGAGAAGCTCGGTCATCCGGGAGGGGTTTGGAGTAGACCTGCTGCTCCTCCACATCGAGTGGAGCCACCTACTGTAGTTGGGATGCCTTCTGGGCGCCTCCCTGGTGAAGTTTTCTGGACACGTTCAATAGGGAGGAGACCTAAAGGAAGACTCGGGACATGCTGGAGGGACTCTGTTTCTCGGCTGGCTTAGGCTCCTGTCCCCACGACCCTACTCCAGACAGGCAGACGATAATGAATGGATAAATGGGTAGTTGCAGTAGAGACATGGTAGCATAAAAGGATGCAAAGAGTCACATTTTCATAGTGGGTCTCTTTTTACAAGACAACTTAATAAATAGTGCGGTTCATTTCTTTAATTTTCATCGTAAACTCCCCAGATCAATGCCATTTTAAATCTCTGGAATAAGTAAAACATCCACTTTCTGGTATTTCAGTGACTCATTTCAGTCGACTTTCAGAGGCAAAGAGCAGGCTTCACCTGATTTAATTTTAGAAACAAAGCATCTCTAGGTGGAGAACTGTGATGTCATCAGAAGACCCAGTGTGCTGGGCTGCAGTGAGCTCAGACAGAACCAGACTACGGAGGAACCGCACCGGACTGCTGGGAGGATGCGGCGCACACACAGACCAGAGCATCGACACACACTCTTCAGGTAAGATGCACAAAGAAAAGGGTGATAGATTAGCAGTTACTGAGAGCTCCCGGTCATCATTACACATTACAGCAACACTAGCATGTTTCCCGCAGCGTGTGTGTGTGTGTGTGTGTCTGAACAGGAGTGCACACACGTGCAGCTTACAAACTATTAGGAATTCCTGACGTGAAAATCATACTAAAGGTGGGGTTTTATGTGTGCTGGAATGACTGTTTCATGACTCAGCAAAGATGTTGACGAATAATTAAACATCCCTTAGTTAATGTTTTACAATTTGGGATGCCTGATGAGGCAACCCCCCCCCCCCCCCCCCCCCCCCCAAACCCCTCTGCTGTGTCCTTTCCTCGAGATGGGATGGGTGTGGCATGCAGCAGACCACCTTCTGTCCTCTGGGACTGTCTCTGAGCCACAATCCCTTATTATTTTGTGATCTGCACTGGCAAAAGAAACACCAGATTCTGAGGCAGCACTAAAATTAATCTAAATACCCCTGAGAACCAGATTAGGCAGCATCCTAGCTCTAAAATTCTTTTATATAACAAAAAACTACATTTTGTTGCTATGTCACTACAAATATGGCATGAATTTTTAACATTTCATATTATGAACACTTGAGTATGTCCTTGTTTTTTGTCACTTGCATCCTTTTTTTGGCTGTGCCCATAACTCTTGCACTGAAGGCACACACTTTAGTTTTTCTGATTAGATGGATGGAGAATAAAATTAGACCTCTGAATTCTATATTGGCCTTTTCATTTATTGATTTAGAAATCGTTCGGATGAAAATTCAGCTGTGCAAACCGAAGATGTAATATGTTGTTATTTGTTTGTTGTTGTATTTGTTTGAACCACAATCTCAATCCTGGTGATTTTTAGGCACAACTATGCATGTACTACAAAAGATAAGCGCATACCAGCAGTAGGCAAAAAAAACAAAACACAAAGAGTGAATCTGCAGAAGTCTGTTTTTTTATTAGGAAAATTTGCTACTCATTTATTTGGAAGAGGCGGGGCCTAAAACTTTCCTGCAGCCAACCACTAGGAGACACCAACTTTGATCCTAATTAAGTTTGTGTCCCTGTGTCCATTTGATAGATAGTCAGTATTTTATAATGCATACATTTTTTTTCTGATTATAATCAGTTGCTCTGAGTTTTCCATGCAGGCTGAACATGAAAATAGTCTCCTACACCTTTCTCCTGCATTAGCTTCTGATAGTGAAACTCTAGGATTTGAAAAGCCTGACAGATCTACGTCACACTGTTAATTAACATTCATGGGCTCACCCATCTTGACTCATGAGGGGAAGGCTGTTGTTTGTTTAGCATCCAAGAAACAGGATCTCGACTAGTAGAAGCTAACCATGAGCATTAGCAACTCCACCACATGGCAGAACTCCTTCAGGCTTGTGTTATTTGTGGAGATGAAAAATCCGTGTTGCAAAGCAAACAGAGTCAGTGGTTGAGTCGTGTTGCTGTTAGCCAATCAGAAGCAAGATGTCCAGATATCAGGAAATAAGACTCCTAATTCTGTCGTCTGAAGCTTAACTGTGATGGGGCTCACTTAGGGTGTTTCTCAATGTCAAGGCGCCTTGCTTTGCGAGGCGATGTCTTGCGAGGCCAGGCGCCTGGCTTACGAGGACACTGTCCTTCCTTGGTCAAAGAAAACAGTTAAATGGAACAGACTTGCATCACGTGACTGTGGCTTCCACAGCGGTCATATAACGTCACGGGAGATAGTGTTATATTTTATATGTATTAGTTTCAATATAAATATATAACAAGCCTTTTACTTTTTAAATAGTGTACCTGTACATGTTTATTAAATTAAAAATGTAAGTGAGTTACTACCCGCTAGCCACCGAAGCTGCAACTAATAAGCAACTAACCAACCATAACTAACTTCTTTGGATCTAAAAAAAACATTTTAAATTAGTTGACTTACTTTTAAACTTGAAATTTGGCCCCAAAGCATCTGCCGGATTCTGATCTGCCATCCTTTTGAAAATACTGCGGTGTGTTCTGGGTAACTTTTGACCAAGGCTAGGCTACAAGACACCTCCTGTGTATCCTCGCTCAGCTAGCTAAACGGCTAACAAACACATGCCTCGGTAGAACATGAGCATTGGAACACATCTTGGCAGCTCCTAATGACGTATCTCCTAGGCAACCGGGGCG